TAAACTTTTACTAATCTTATGTAATGTAAGAGAGAAATTTTTTTGACTGATACATAGTAGGAAATGTTAACACTTTTCAATGACTGTATTTGTCTTCTTGCCAACACCCAAGTTTCAGGTACAAAAGGCCTTGGTAGGTCAACTGCAGATAGACAAACCAAGAGATGCATTAAACTATAATGGAAGTATTTGGCTCCCAGAATAAAAGCGTACACCTTCAATGAGAATTTGTAGTTAAGAGAAATGGTTATGTCCCAACTGTTAACAGTGTAAGTACATGTAACTATATCATAGTTAGCTAGTTATAATAATTACATAATTATGCTGTAGAAACAAACATGTAGAGATAAAAATATGCATTGTAAGCTTTGTAAACTAAATGTACCAAATTGGCTAATGGCCCTAAATATTTTGTTTTTAAAAGTGCAAAGGTTTGTAGTATGCACTATATTATATTTTTATTTATATATATATATATATAAATAAATAATTTTTTTTAATAAATAAATATAAAATAATATTACCAGCTACATAACCAGCATACACAATAACCCCAAACACCGTTCTGAAGCCATGAGTGTCTGATGAGTCAGTGTGAAATGATGGAAATAGGTACACACATGATTGCTTTTAGTTTAGAATATCACCAGGGTCACTGGGATTCATGGTCTGTCACCTAACCAATTCCACATGTAATCTGAGGTTTCACCAGCATTTCATCAGCAAAGTGAACAGAGGTGATGTTGATAAAAGGTGGGGGTACAATTTAGAGGTTCTGGTGTGAACCCTGGCAGCAGAAGCGACGCCCGGGGAGGAATACACTATATGGTCTTGTGGGCTGCAGCACAGCCGTGCGCCGCCTTTAGTGCAACACAGAGCAGTTTCCTAGCACCATCCCGCTCAGAGCCAGCTCCTGGCCAGTCCCACCTTTGGCCACAGGCTCCTGGTCCTGCCTGGACTTTGGCTGCTGGATCCCAACCCTCCTGGCTCCTTGATGGACTCTGTGAGCTTGGACAAGGCAGCTGGGCCCAATTCTTAAGACTACAGGTGCAGCCCCTGCACAGATACATGCCCGCACAGGTGCATGAGGTTAAATGCAAGGCCTCCCCCTCTGTATAATCGGGCATCCCTGCCTTGCTCCCAGCAGTGCACTGTGGTTTGTAAAGAGCTTTGAGACTCTCGGAGAGACACTGCTGGAGCAGGGCAAGCTAATTGCTGTGACCTGTGAGCCAGCCTCTGAGGCCATCCATGCTGCACTGAGACCTTCCAGATTTCTGCCAGCCTAGGGGTAGCTCTGAACGCCTTTCGCTCCTCAGGCAGTGCCCCTCCATCCCTTCCCCACCTTCAGCAGGTAGCTCAGGCTATCCGGAGCAGGCTGAGCACCTGTGCCCTGTCTGTACCCCTCAGCTCTGCATCCAGGGGCACATGCAGAAGGCCGCCCTACCTGGCTGCCGCTGTCTGTGCGGAAGGGCAGCCGATGGCAGGAGGCATCTCCACCCCAGGATGGTATCAGTGCCACTGGCCGGGAAGGAAGGAGCCAAGCTGCACTGGACCCCTCACCGCACTCTCCCTGGGCTGAGGTTTGGTGTCATCTCCTCCTCTCTGCCAGATCCCAATTACCCCTGGGGCTCCTGGGGCTCCCAGTGCATCCTCCTTAACCCCTTCCTGCCTGCACTTCAGCCAGGGAACAGGAGGTGACTGGGCTATGTTGGGGGCAAGTGGCAGCCTGTGTAAGTGGCAGCAGTGCTGTCTGGGCAGGAAGGGACAGGACTGCTTCCAACCTCCGGTGAGGCAGTGGGAAGGGGTAAGCTCTGCAAAGACACAGGCCAGGGGCAGCTCCTGGGCAAGGCAAAGGGAATGATGGCAGATGCCCTCACTAGATGGCTCTGAGCAGAGCCGATGTATAACTGTTGTAGTGGGGAAGGAGGGGAACAATATAAAGATTCTGGTGTGAGCCCTGGCAGATATCGGGGGGGGGAGGGGGAAACGGGACACACCCGACCCTGTGGGACACCCCCACCCCCCACGCATTGCCTCTGAATATGGTGTTGCCTACAGAGTATGGTATTCAAACTAGATCATGTTTTAAATGGACATTATGTAATATAACTGCTTCTTAAAAGATCTTTTTCATGAAACTAGGCTGAATAGTGCCATATTATTGAACCATTTGAGATCTCATTCAGTTATATGCAAGGTTAAAACACTAAATCACTGGAGACATTCTACTTAAATCACAAATAAAATTTATAAACCATGACATAGAATGATATGAAATGTCATTTTTGCTACTAAATACTAGAGATACAGAAATCTTAATTTTTATACAAAGCTGGACAGAAAAATCAGAAATATTTAAAAACAGTTACAATGTTTTATATTTTGGGTAATAGCTTTTATACAACAGGATAATTAAATAAGAAATTTCCAAATATTTTGATTAATTTGAACACAGCATGGTCTGATAATACACTCTGTATTTTGTTCGACTTTACGGTGATGCATAATAGAGAAGTTATTACAGTTGTATGTGATACAACCTAAGTTCCCTCTAAGCTGTGCGGCCGCGCAGCAGGCTATCAACAGCTGCGCAGGTGGGGAGAAGTGCCTCTCCCCCAGCCCCGGAGCTGCTGCGGCTGGGGACAGGCGCCTCTCCTCCAGCCCCAGCTGCGGCAAGAGAGGGCTGGGGGGAGTCCTCTCTCCCCGCCGCAGCCCAAGGGCAGCCTGCACTCCAAGCCCCTCATTTCCACCCCCTAGAGCCCGCAACCCCATCTGGAGCCTTTGCACCCCAGCCCTCTGCCCCAGCCCTGAGTCCCCTCCCGCATTCTGACCCCCTCATCCCTGGCCCCATCCCAGAGCCCTCACCCCCCGAACCCGTCATTCTCGGCCCTACCCCACAGTCCGCACCCCCAGCCAGAGCCAGCACCCTAATCCTCTGCCCCAGCCCTGAGCCCCCTCCCACACTCTGAAACCCTTAGTCCCACCCCTGCCACACCCTTACCTCATTCAGTGTACAGGATGAATAGTGCATAGAGAATAAATCAGGATTGTGTGGAGCATGAAGCTGCTTTTAGGATCCGTGCTTTATTTGCTCTAGTAGTTGGAATATGTGTAGAGAACAAGGTAGGGGGGTTGGCAGGAAGTGAGAATGGTCTGGTGGATAAGTCAGGGGAATGCCACACAGGTGAACTCAGTCTATGTCTCTCTCTCTCTCTCCCCCATCTTCCTATCTGATGCAGAGCTAGTCTTTTAAACCTTAATGTTGGTAGGTGGCCCCTAATTGCATATTCCTTACTTTCTGGATGCCTGACTTGAAACAACCCGGGTTTGGATGTAGCCATGTTGAGCACTGAAAAGAATAAGTGTAATCAATGGGAGTTGTAGATGCTGAAAACTTCTGTCAATAAGGCACTGTGGGGTGAAGGAATGAGCGCAGGGTTAGTATTTGAGATCCTGAGTTCTAATCCTGGCTCTGCCACTGACTCACTCTGTGTCCTCAGACAAGTCTTGGTCTCAGTTTCCTCACTGGTAAAATGGGGATAATAATGCTCTCATCTCATAGCAGAGATAAAATCATTAATGTTTGTGAAGCAGTCAGACACTATGATAATAAGCGCTCTAAAAAAGGCCAGGAGAAAATGGATAATTCTGTATTCAGTACAGGATTTGGATGGTGTGAGGTAAATAAGGTGAGGGACACTAACTGAATGATGATGAGAGAACATTATTTTAATGTAGTTTTTATGTATGTAACATTTGAGTTTGCTGACTGCATGAAATCTTTGGTGTTTCCAGGCACCACCTTTAAAAGAGAGGCTAACTGGTAATAAAACTGATGCATGTGACTATTGTCTATGCCTGTGTGGGAGTTGTGGTTTTTGGAGTCATGAAACATAGTTGTAGCTAACGTCCAAAAAACCTGGATGTTTTCTATGATACATGGTATAAACTGCTGCTTACTTGCTCCTTCTTTATGATAAAAAAATCCCCACCTTTTTTCTGGTGTCATGAATTTTGCAGCATTATTTAAATGCAAATTCTATTTTCTTTGTTTCAAGCATTAGCATTACAAGTGGTTTTCCACTGTACAATTGAAGTATCCGAGGACACTGTCAATCCATTGGTTAGCAGCTTAGGCAGAACATTCTGAGGTTAATCTTTTGAAAACAGTACTGAAAACAGAGGTGAGCCTATTAATACAGATCCTTGTCACCAGCTCGGTGTATGAATGTATCCTCTACCAATTGGGTGTATGTTCTCTGTATTAAGTATGGTATTAGAAACGCAGTGATGTCAACAACATTGAATACAAGTAGACTGTTTACATAATTTTAACATTAGGATTTAATGTAACAAAACCAGAAAGTTCTTAAACAAGTTGTTTCATACTTTACTCATTATGGTGTGCCTTAATTCTTTTTAGAAATTGTAGAAGAAGAGGAAAACAAAATGTGTCTAGAACACTTTAGAAAGCAAATTGCTTTCCAATAGAACAGGGAAGGAAGCATGCACGTTAAACAATATTTAGGCATTTTATTTTTGCACATAATTCATACTTAGTCATTTGGTGTCATTAAAAATGCTCACGTGTCTGAAAGGCACCTTCTGATCCATCACACTCCACTAAATAAATAATCATTTAGGATGAAGGTAGCCTAATGACATTCATTTGATCATTAGCTGTTAGCTTTTCCAAAATTTGGTGTTGGTAGGTTTAATTTACTCCTTTCTGCCTGCCCTCAAAATACCTAAAGAGATTAGAGCTGACATGAACTGATCTAATTTGTTAAATTGTTTTTTCTTTGCAAATATTGTGCAATATTAAACAAATAGTGTGGCTATGTCCTTAAGTGTTGTTTGCTACTAGTTCATTACCTCTAGACATTGCTTTCTACCTTTTTAATGCTGAGTAATGTAAAAAAGGAAGACTGGATATAACAATGTCAAGCCCAAATGAGCTAATGATTTAACCATGATTTTTTCTTTTGGTCTCTTGACAGGTCAGTTTTCCTGTGGAAATAAGCACTGTGATGAGAAAGAAGGACTGAAGAGCTGGGAGGTGAATTTTGGGTACACTGAATATGGTGAAAAGAGGAATGCCCTTGTGAAATTGCGTAAGTCAGCCCCTTCCTATGGTTGGCCTTCAAGCTTATGTAAATGCAAATGAAGGCTAATATCTTACTATTTAATGATATAATGAAAAACCTAGAAATTGTAGTCATGCTTAGGATAGTAGGCAAGGAGGAAAATAAGTTGTTGTATATGATACTTTTGGTTGGACTAGTTACAAATATAATAATGGCTGTGCTTTAGGGAAACCGCTCTCTTTCAATCAGTACAACCTATAATTGCTTTATTACCTGAACACTTCTTGCTGTCTAATTCTTACTGCCATAGATTCTTCTAGTCGTATTGTTGTAACACAGCTTCTTCATTTATTTTTTTTAAGAGGAAGACTGAACAGCATATGTGAAGTTTCAGCACAACTCATGCTGAACCATTTCTGTGGCTAAATAGTCTTCAGGGCTGTCAAACACCTTTTGCAAGCATTACATTAACTTAATTTTATTTTTAATACTGACATTTCTTAATTCTAATACTAGCATACCTATTTTCCTTCTTTGACAAGGTTACTGGGCTTCTGGAGGCAGGGGAAACAGTAGATGTGGTATATCCTGATTTTAGTAAGGTTTTTGACACAGTCCCACATGGCATTCTTATAAGCAAACTGGGCAAATGTGGTCTAGATGTAATTACCATAAGGTGGATGCACAACTGGTTGAAGCAATATACTCAAAAGTAGTTATCTGTGGTTCGCTGTCAAACTGGGAGTGTTCTGTCTAGTGGTGTTCTGTAGGGTCAGTCCTGGAACCAGTACTATTAAATATTTTCATTAATGACTTGGATAATGGAGTGGAGAATATGCTTATAAAATTTGGAAATGATACAAAGATGAGAGGGGTTGCATGCACTTTGGAGGACAAGATTAGAATTCAAAACTACCTTGACAAATTGGAGAAATCTGGTCTGAAATCAACCAGATGAAATTCAGTAAAGACATGTGCAAAGTAAAACACTTGGGAAGAAAAAATCAAATGCACAACTATAAAATGGGGAATAACTGGCTACGCGGTACTACCGCTGAGAAGCATCTGGGAGTTATAGTGGATCACACATTGAATGCACTAAAAATGTGATGCAGTTGCAAAAAATGGATATCATCATTCTGGGGTCTATTAACAGGCGCGTTGTCTATAAGACCTGGGAGGTAGTTGTGCTGCTCTATTCAGCACTGGTGAGGCCTCAGCTGGAGTAGTGTGTCCAGTTCTGGGCACCACACTTTAGGAAAGATGTGGACAAATCAGAAAGAGTCCAGAGGAGAGCAGTTTTACAAACTGTGACCTAAGCGGAAAGGTTAAAAAAACTGGGCATGTTTAGTCTTGAGAAAAGAAGACTGGAGGGGGATCTTCTAAGCCTTTAGAGATGTTAAGGGCTCTTATAAAGAGGACTGTGATCAATTGTTCTCCATAATGCTGAAGGTAGGACAAGAAACAGTAGGCTTAATCTGCAGCAAGGGAAATTTAGGTTAGATATTAGGAAAAACTTCGTAGCTAAAAAAAATAGGTAAGCTCTAGAACGGGCTTCCAAGGTAGGTTGTGGAATCTGCATCACTGGAGGTTTTAAAGAACAAGTTGGACAAATACCTCTCAGAGTTGGTCTAGAACAGAGGGTGGACAAACTATGGCCTGTGGGCCACATCCGGCCCACGGGACCATCCTGCCTGGCCCCTGAGCTCCTGGCCCCTTCCCTGCTGTTCCCCCTTCCCCGCAGCCTCAGCATGCGGTGCCACCAGCGCTCTGGCCCGCTGCTTCTGCCAGGCAGTGTGGGTGGTGGGCCATGTGCCTGCGAGCTCCTGCTGCTCTGAGCAGCATGGTAAGGGGGCAGGGTGAGGGAGGTGGATAATGGGCAGGGAGTCCCAGAGGCAGTCAGGGGACAGGAGGCGGTTGGATGGGGTGGAGGTTCTGGGGGGGGGGCAATTGGGGGACAGGGAGCAGGGGGAGGTTGGATGGGGGTGGGGTCCCGGGGGACGGTTGGGGCAGGGGTGTGGATAGGGGTCGGGGCAGTCAGGGGACAGGGAGCAGGGGGAGGTTGGATAGGGCAGAGGTTCGGGGGGGGGAGGGTCAGGGGACGGGGAACAGGGGGGGTTGGATAGATGTGGGAGTCCCAGTGGGGACTGGCGGGGGTGTGAATAGGGGTAGGGGCAGTCAGGGGACAGGGAGCAGGGGGAGGTTGGATGGGGCAGAGGTTCTGAGGGGGGCAGTCAGGGGGCGGGAATTGGGATGGGGCAGGGGCCAGGCTGTTTGGGGAGGCACAGCCTTCCCTACCCAGCCCTCCATACAGTTTCGCAACAACGCTGTGGCCCTCCGGCTAAAAAGTTTGACCACCCCTGGTCTAGAATCACTTGGTCCTGCCTCAGTGCATAGGGGTGTATTTGATGACCTCTCAAAGTCACTTCCAGCCCATTTCTATGATTTTCCCCAGAAAATCTTTAACTGCACTAAGGATAATTCTCATGCCACAAAGTCTCATCTATTCAGTCCGATCTTATTGAATATGTGTGCATAACAGTATATGGATACATACAAAAAATAAGTAACCTTTTTTTTGTAAATAGTGTGAGAGAGAGGGGTGGGGTCTTTTTATCTTTCTTTTCTTGACTATGGGTCCATCTATACAATAATACTTGCTCTGTGAGAAGCCTTAGTAGTGTTTGTGTTTCTTTCAATATATTCATAATGTGGTTTGATTCTGTCCACAAAAGCACATCCAAATCATACTCTAACATGATCCCCAGAAACAATAAATGCTACTTACTTTTTGTGAACAATAGCCAATGCTGAGTCTCCCATCGTCCTTCAAAGTGATTCAGTACTTTGGAGTCATACTGACAGTTTTATCACATACTATTTTTCCCTTTTTTTTGAACCCTGGTTATAGCTACATTGGAATTTTTATGTTGTAAAAATTAGTGAAATTGAAAGAAATGTATAAAGATTGGGATAACAATGTTCATAATAATAATAAAGTATTTCTGCTCAATATGACATTTTCATGTTCAAATTGTCTTTTTTCACCTCCCCAGGACTGTGTCCACAATGTTCCTGCAAATTAAATTTTCATCACAGGTAATGGAGCCTTTTGAAAAATTCAGATTAAATAATAAATCTGTTCCAAGCTTTCCTATAAGTTTAATTGTAAGAATGCTGCAAAAATTACTAAACTTTTGTTTATACTGACTTCCTTATCATTTATATGAAATCGATACTCTAACATTGCTAATTATGTATTTTTGGATTAATGAAATTCATAATAAAAGTTGCAACTCAAATTATAACTTTTTTTTCATTTGCTCATACTTATCTCAAATTTGCCTTTTAGGCTGAAATTTCCATGCTAGATTTTAGCCCAAAGATTAGGTTTTGGGAAGCTTATGCAAAATCTACCTAGTGATTTTTTGAGTTAGGCAAGCAGGAAAAATGTTTATGCTTTTCCTATTTAAAAATTTTTTTCCGGGTTGGGGTGGAGCTGCAGCTGGGCTGCAGTGAGGCCCAGCAGCTGGGCCTGTAGCTGAGTGTGGCTCCACTCCCGGCCATTCCCCCAGCCTCAGCCCTGGGCTGGGAATGGAGCTGCGGCCAGGAGCAGAGCAGAGGGTTGCAGTGGGGGCTGGGGCCTGGGCCCCTGGCCGGGTGCAGGGCCGTGCTGGGGGCCAGCGGAGGGGCTGGGAGCCAGGGCCATGGATGTGGGCAGGGTTACAGCAGAGCTGGGGGTGAGGGGCCGCATTGAGGCTGGGGACAGGGCCAGGCATGGGGCTGGGAGCCAGGGCCATGGATGTGGGCAGGGTCAGAGCAGAGCTGGGGGTGAGGCTGGGCTGGGTGGCGCTCCCTCCTCCTCCACCGCCCCCCGGTGGGGGCGGGGCTGGACTGGGCCCACTGCGTGCCCCCCCTCCCCCTAATGTTCCTCTACACCCCCCTAGGGGGGCGTGCCCCACAGTTTGGGGACCTCTGGTCTGTGGGATTGGTGCATTCTTCACGCTGTCTATCCAGTAGCTCTTCATTTAGCAGGGGAGAGCAATGTGTTGGCAGATCATCTCAGCAGAGACCATTTTCAGATGTATGTGAGGTCTCTGAAGGACCAGGTAGTACAGAGATTTTTCTCCAGCTGAGGTCAGCCCAGTACAGACCTGTTTGCGATCAGGTTCAACAAAAAGCGTCATCTATTTTGTTCCAGAGCAGGAAAGGAGAGTCAGTCGGATGCTTTCCTAATGTTTTGGGTGAAATGACCTTCTGTATACTTCCATTTTCCATTAATTCAGAAGGTGGTGAGGAAGATAAAACAGGTCAGGGCAAAGGTGATCTCGATTGTGCCAGCTTGGCTGAGAGTGCAGTGGTACGTGGACCTGCGTCAGCAGTTGGAAGGAGACTGCAAACTGCTTCCCTTGTCCCCAGACCTGTTGATGCAGCAGCATGGCAGGATTCTTTATCCTGATGTTATTTGACAGCCTGGCACATTTACATAGGGGCTCTAATTTTATGCACAAGCCCAAGGGAGAAAGTGAGAACATTCATGGTTCATTAGCCTCAATTGAGGCTTAAGAGGAAAGAGAGTGGGATGCCCACTGCTCTAATCCAGCCCACAGAAGACTTGAACCAGGGTCTCTAAGAGCCCAGGATGCATAACTTAGCCACTGTGCTACTGATCCTCAGTCTCTCCATTCCTCAGCACCTGGGATTTGATGAATGTAGAACAGTCTTGTTCCTTGTTGGTTCAAAATGCATTACTTAGTTCTAGAAAGCAAGTGGTGAAAGCAATGTTATTACTTGAAATGAGGTAGATTTGTTTTTTGGTTGCAAGGCAAATCTGTCTCACCAGTTACAGCTTGTATTGTGGGTGTATTGGAGTATTCGATGTATTTAAAATCTGAGTAATTATCTAATTCTTCTTTAAGAGTTCATTTGATGGCTCTTCCAGCTTACCATGTTTTGCTTAACGGTAGATCATCATTTTTGCGTGGCACAAAGGGGTTATCTAACTTGTATCCTCTTTGACAGATCTGGTGTCCTCATGGGATCTTAATTTGGTTTTATCTGTGCTTATGAAGCTGCCTTTTGAACCCTTGGCAGTGTGTTCTTTCGTTCGTTCATTCTTTATATCTCTTAAACTGTGTTTATTGTTGCTATAACATCATTCAGAAGAATGAGTGAATTACATGCCTTGTTGCAGGGTTTTCATAAAGAAAAGTGGTTCTTATGCCTGATCCCAGTTTTTTACCAAAAATAATATCTAAGTTGCAAATCAATCAGATAATTAATTTACCGGTATTTTTTCAAAGCCGCATGCTAATAAAGGAGAATCTGTGTAACATACTTTAGACGCTAGAAGAGTTTTAACTAAGGCTGTCAAGAAATTAAAAAAAATGAATCCCGATTAATCGTGCGATTAAACAATAATAGAATACCATTTATTTAATTAATTTTGGATGTTTTCTACATTTTCAAATATATTGATTTCAATTACAGCATAGAATACAAAGTGTACAGTGCTCACTTTATTTTTATTACAAATATTTGCATTATAAAAAACAAAAGAAATAGTATTTTTCAATTCACCTAATACAAGTACAGTAGTATAATCTCTTTATCATGAAAGTTGAACCTACAAATGTAGAATTTTGTACAAAAAAACCCTCCATTCAAAAATTGTAAAACTTTAGAGCCTACAAGTCCAATCAGTCCTACTTCTTGTTCAGCCAATCACTCGGACAAACAAGTTTGTTTACATTTGCAGAAGATGATGCTGCCTGCTTTTTGTTTACAGTGTCACCTGAAAGTGAGAACAGGCGTTTGCATGGCACCATTGTAGCAGAGTTGTAAGATATTTACATGTCAGGTGCGCTAAAGATTCATATGTCCCTTGATGCTTCAACCACCGTTCCAGAGAACATGCGTCCATGCTGATGACAGGTTCTGCTCAATAATGATCCAAAGCAGTGCGGACTGATACATGTTCATTTTCATCATCTGAGTCAGATGCTACCAGCAGAAAGTTGATTTTCTTTTTTGGTGGTTTGGTTTCTGTAGTTTCTGCATCAGAGTGTTGCTCTTTTAAGACTTCTGAAAGCATGCTCCAGGCCTCATGCCTCTCTCGGAAGGCACTTCAGATTCTTAAATCTTGGGTTGAGGGCTGTAGCTGTCTTTAGAAATTTCACACTGGTACCTTCTTTGCCTTTTGTCAAATTCGCAGTGAAAGTGTTCTTAAAATGATCAACATGTGCTGGGTCATCATCCGAGACTGCTAGAACATGAAATATATGGCAGAACGTGGGTAAAACAGAGCAGTAGACATGCAATTCTCCCCCAAGGAGTTCAGTCACAAATTTAAATAGCGTGTTATTTTTTTAATGAGCGTCATCAGCATGGAAGTGTGTCCTCTGGAATGATGGCCAAAGCATGAAGAGGCATATGACTCTTTAGCGCATCTGGCATGTAAATATCTTGCGATGCCAGCTACAACAGTGCCATGCGAATGCCTATTCTCACTTTCAGGTGACACTGTAAACAAGAAGTAGGCAGCATTTATCTCCCATAAATGTCAACAAACTTGTTTCTCTTCGCACTTGGCTGAACGAGAAGTAGGACTGAAAGGACTTGTAAGCTCTAAAGTTTTGCATTGTTTTGTTTTTGAGTGCAGTTATGTTACCAAAAAAACTACATTTGAAGTTGCACTTTCATGATAGAGATTGCACTACAGTACTTGTATGAGGTGAATTAAAAAATACTACTTTTGTTTACCATTTTAAATGCAAATATTTGTAAGCAAAAATAATATAAAGTGAGCACTATACACTTGTATTCTGTGTTGTAATTGAAACTGATACATTTGAAAATGTAGAAAAACATCAGAAATATTTAATGTCAGTTGGTAGTCTATTGTTTAATCATGATTAATTTTTTTAATCATGATTAATTTTTTTGAGTTAATTGCTTGAGTTAACTGCGATTAATTGGCAGCCCTAGTTTTAACATATTATTTAAATAAACTACAGATTTTTTGAAAGTCTTGTATGTTATTTGTTTTGTATGCTAAGAATCATATGGGTTTTAGTGTATCTGCTATTTCCAAATGGATTAAATAATGTGTCTTTGAATGTGACAAATTAGCAGCCGTGCCTGTGCCTACTTTTGTGAGATTTCTTTCTGCTAGGGCAGCGGCAGCATCATTTGCTTGTCTTAGACGTTTCTCTGTCTTGGAAATCTGTAAGGCTCCTACTTGGAAGTCAGACCATATGATTAGTAAACGTTATGCTTTGTATTTGGCTTCAAGAGCAGATGCTAGATTAGATGGAACAGTGCTTCAGTCATTGTTTAATTAGGACTCCATCCCCTTCTCCTGAGTTTTCAGTACTGCTTGCCAGACTACCCTTAAGTGGGAATATGCAGAACCACTCAAAGAAGATATGAAGGTTCCTTGTAACTGAAATTCTTGAGATGACTCTATGTTCACTCATCCCGCCCACCTTCCCCTCTTTCTCAGAGTCCTATCTTGGTTTCTCTCAGTTGTGGTAGAAGGAACCCAAGGCAGGAGAGGGCTCAACACCCCCTTATATAGTGTTGCCCCTAATCAGTGTTGGAAGATTCTGAGGGAAGGGATAGGAGGGGGCGCAACTGGTCTCTAACGGGCACTACTTGAAGAAGGTTCTACCGTTAGGATGCACTGGTCGGTGTATTACCCATAAGTGTGAATATACAGAGTCATTGCAAAGAACTCCGTGTATAAGTAAGTAACCTTCATTTTAGCATTTCCTGCCTTTTTGTGTTCGGATGTAGGTAACAGCCTTAAGGTAACAATAATATTTTTTGCATTAGACATTCATTTTAAATGTTTAATCTGAAATAAACAAATGTTGGAAGTAGTATATAATCTCTTGATGGGGCTTGATTTCTGATATGTTTTCTGTTGCTCGAAGAGTACATTGGCAGAACTTATGTATTCATTTTTTATTATAAAGGAGGAGAGAAGTCAAACCAAACAAGAAGAGAGGGAGAACTGAACAAAACACTGAAGACCCCAAAAGTAAGAAGTCAAGATTATCTCATTCAGAAAAACACAGATCTAAACAGAGAAATAAACAGAAAGGTAAAATAAGTTTTTAAACTGTCTCTATTTTTAAATATTAAATACAAATATTGAGTGTTTAACCCTATCAAAGTGAGAGATACATTTATGTTACTGGATTTCAATGGCTCATTAACTGGATTGTCAGGGGAAAGAGAAAGGGGATGAATTTCTAATGATTCATAGACCAGAAGAGCCTCCAGAGTAATATACTATTTGAAGAAAGACCTGTCCAAACAAAGGGAAGCAGCATACCAAAAAGAGTACTAAAGTGTTTGGTTCCATGTGGCTCTGGGGTTGCAAGCCTTTTGATAACCTAAGATAACCTTTTTCATATCACAGATATGGGGATAACATATTTTACCTGAAACTGATGACTTTCCATTTTGTAGAAAAATAATCCCTTTACTTAAGTGTTTGCCTTATTTTGTGTGTGTGTGTGTGTGTGTGCGAGAGAGAGAGAGAGGTTTGTTAGGTGGTAAGTGTGCCCTTGTAAAACATGTTAAAAATAGTGCATAAAATCAAGGTAAACTAATTGTTTTTAAATGGCTGTTTCTTTTCAGATCAAGTTTCCTCAGATGATTCAGATGATTTTGATAACGGTAAATTATTCAAATGACTTCCTAAATTTTTTACTTATTCTATTACAAGTTGGTTTGTCCTCGGTTTCAGTTCTATTTATCAGCAGTTTTGGTCTTCTGATACAATGATTTGAAATATCGTTTATGAAATACTGTAGGAAGAGAAGCAAACATAGGATTATCAAACAAAACAAAAAAAAAGATTGATTTAAATCAGTGATTCTCAACCAAGGGTACATGTACCTCCAGGGGTACACAAAGGTTTTCTGGGTGGTACATCAACTCATCTAGATATTTGCCTAGTTTTACAACAGGCTACAGAAAAAGTACTAGCGAAGTCATTACCACCTAAAATTACATACAGATAATGACTTGTTTATGCTGCTCTATATACTATATACTGAAATGTAAGTACAATATTTATATTCCAGTTCATTTATTTTATAATTATATGGGTAAAAATAAGAAAGTAAGAAATTTTTCAGTAATAGCGTGTTGTGACACTTCTGTATTTTTGTCTGATTTTGTAAGCAAGAAGTTTTTAAGTGAGGTGAAACTTGGAGGTACACAAGCCAGATCAGATTCCTGAAAGGGGGTAAAGTAGTTTGGAAAGATTGAGAGCCACTGATTTAAATTCATAGGAAGGATAGATGAAGGACACTTGGCAGGAATCCTTTTCAAGTTTATGGAAGGAAGAAAAATCGTGGAATCTAGGAAGGAGAAGATAATAGAAGAATAGTAATACTAGGAAAAATAGTTCAAGAATTGGGTTACATTTGTGCAACAAAGACTATAAAGGTGAAAACAAATATTGCTCTGCTAATCACTGTAGGGGCGTGAGAGGTATGTGAGGTATGTGTATCTATATAGATACACTATATAATCGTAAGTTATCCGTGACCTCAGAATAAATTATTAGAGAGCAGTGTGGGGGAGTTACTTTGCCCAATATGCTCTACACCAAAGTCCATTCCAGTTCCCACCCGCAGTACTTCATAGAGCCTCCCTGCGATAGTAAGAAGAGATCAGAGTCCTAGGGGCTGCTTTGGCAATGGCATTCGCTGCTCCTCACTAATTCCACTCCCCAGTGCCTGTTTTATTATGGGGGCTCCTGCCTCTGGGCCTCCTGCTTCCTTGTTGCAGAGTGTCTGGAAGAAACTGATAGTTCCTGTTTACCTGCCCTCCTGAAATAGAACATTTGGGGATGCCTTCCAGACCTCAGTTCCCTGCCAGACAAAGAGAGTCCTGGAGTGGGTCCCTCTCGCCACAGTGGAAGACTTTGGGCTGCCCCCTGCTGCTGTCAGAAAGGAGCCCTAGGGAGCAATTGGGGTGGGGGGAGGTCTTATTCATGGTTGAGGGCTAGAGGTCCATAACCTCCAGTCTTTTACCTCCCCCCAAAAAATAAAATAATTTTTAAAAATTGCATTGTACAGTTACAAACCATTACATATTTTTTGAGGTATAAGATATAAAGTGTTAGGTATTTGAGGCTGAGGCAATCTGTTAGTTTCTCTACATTATTACAATTTATAATTAGTTGACATAAATCAGTACATAAATAGAAATTGAATCGCTTATTCCTTTTTTATTACCATGATTCAAAACACTATATTACTCTAATTTTAGATGCTCACATTGATCTCTGCTGGTGAGGTTAGAACACATGAGCTGTAAGGTCCTGAATTTGCTAATATGCCTCTAATTTTCTGTATTATATCTTTGTTCTTAGATAGATGGGAGATTATAATTCTGTTCCCCTACTCTGTGAGGATCTGTGTGCCAACATGGAGCATGTGCAGCATTTCTTTGTTTAATTTTAGGAGCAAAGTGCTAACACTACTGTTGATACAAGGATCAGTGTTCTGGAGCAGAGTCCAACAGATTAAGGCATTAGAGCCACCATATCAAATCAATACAGCTTTTAAAAAACAAATGCTGTAACGTAACAATTTTAGTTGGTAAGCAGAAATGATTGTCAGATGAATTTGCCATAACTTATGTTTTGGGCAAAAGATGAGTCGAGGATGTTAAAGTTTCATTTCTGCACAGTCTTGAAAGTCCTCTATATAATAACCTATTTTAATTGTAGAAAAAATATGGAAGACAACCTTAAAAATTAAAGAACATCAGCTAATAATAAAAAATGTGTGCAGGCTACCAATACGGTCCCAATCCAGATTGAAAACTGGACCCCAAAAGCTGGATTGAACACTATTCTCTCATGTTTTTCATGTCTCTTTTTTAATAATAAATATTTCATTTTAAGATAGAAAATAAATTTCTTGTATTGATTTTCCTTTTTAAGGTTGCACGTCCCATGAGATACGTACTAGGGAGACAACTGCACATTTGTATGAAAAGCGATTTGCAAAAAAAAAAAAAAATTTCCCCCAGAATTCTCATGCTTAAAGTTATACTTTGATTCAGAGGCTTAGACTTACTAATAGTGCCATGTAAAATTTGGAAGAAAACTTTTTTTGAAAATTAATTTTCGTAAGACGTTTTTATAATCTTTAACAGACGCAGATGACAGTGAAGAGCATCCTTCAGATGCTGACTTTTGGAAGGGTCCTCTACAAGAGACACATGAAAAATCACGGTTAGTTCTGATACCAATAGCTTGTATATCTTGTAATAGTTATGCCTATTCAAAAATCATGTGGCTGTATGCGTCTTTTCAGGATTTATTATGATTATTCCAACACTGAAAATCAATGCCAAATCTTCTTCCCTTCACCACACCCAAGTATATACCCTTAGAAGGAGAGGAAGTGTGTGAAACTTGGAGAAATCCTCCCCTCAAGGCAGGGAGATGCTCCAGCCCTGCTGTTGCAGCCTCAGCACTACAGTAGCCTCTGTTTTGCTTGCTATTCCCTCTGCTCCTTCACCTCTATGGAAAGGAAGGTGACTCCACTTAGGTTTCAGAGTGGTAGCCGTGTTAGTCTGTATCAGCAAAAACAGCGAGCAGTCCTTGTGGCACCTTAGAGACTAACAAATGTATTTGGGCATAAGCTTTTGTGGGCTAGAATCCACTTCATCAGATGCATGGAGTGGAAAATATAGGAGCAGGTATAAATACATGAAAAGATGGGAGTTGCCTTACCAAGTGCGAGGTCAGTCTAACGAGACAATTCAATTAACAGTAGAATACCAAGGGAGGAAAAATAACTTCTTGTAGTGGTAATGAAAGTGGCCCATTTCAAACAGTTGACAAGAAGGTGTGAGTAACAGTAGGGGGAAATTAGTATGGGGGAAATTGGATTTAGATTTTGTAATGACCCAACCGCTCCCAGTCTTTATTCAGCCGAATGTGATGGTGTCCAGTTTGCAAATTAATTCCAGTTCTGCAGTTTCACGTTGGAGACTGTTTTTGAAGGTTTTTTTTGTTGAAAAATTGCCACTTTTAGTCTGTTACGTGACCTGTCATTCATCCACTTAGTAATTGACTCATTGGCCCTTCCCTGCTCTTCCTCTTCCCCAGCCGTTACCTTGGGCCTTTGCAGCACTGTGGAAGGACCTGCCACAGGCCTGGGCTTCATGTTGTAATGGACATGCACACCCCTTGAGGGGATTCTTGTGGCCATAATTTGCTCCTTTTCACTTTTTTCACCAGTAAATATGTTGGAATATTTGCACAATGGGAAGTAATTTGATTTCTGTTAAGAGAATACCTCCCATTTACTTGCTTTAAAACCGGTAACAAGATAATAAAATTGGGGATTTTTGCTTTAGATCCTTTAAAAATAAAACCTACATTGGACGCTACTTAAACAAAAAGCACCAGTGACACAACTTATATTTTGAAGAGTGGGAAGAAAGTTTCTCTGTAGCATAAATTTCCAGTGCATGTATGTATCCAACCTTTCCCAAAATAGGAATTTATTTAGGATCTAGTGCTGGTCTTATTCTCCAGATGCCCTGCTACTCTTCGCTCATTCAGGAAGACCTAACAAACAATTCAAACTGTATTTGAATTTTTCTCAAATTTTTGGCCAAAATTTACTTGAAATCAATCTATTCTTGAAATACATTAGAGGAAATAGCTACCTCCATGCAGGTCAGATCACAGGGGGTCAGTCATATCCTACTCCCACTCCTTGGGGATAAAGACACACAAAGTTGCAGAACTCCTATGTGGTGAGGCAGTCAATGAGAGGCCATGCAAGGAAACACTACACGTGCTACATACCATGGAGCAGTGCTCAGCAGCACCTTTCTCCATATCAGCTTGGAAGTATTGTAGTGAGGCAATCTGCCACTATGCAGATACAGAGCCCTGCACTGATACAAAATCTATATCCGTGGATATAAATCGGGTATCCGTGGAGCTGCAGGGCTCTATTGGGAACTGCAGTGGCAAAAGCAGCAGCATGTCGGGTTGCCTCTCGCAGGAGTCAACACCCCATGCGGGAAGCTCCTCTAGCGTGGTTGTACTGCCTCCAGCCCCGCCCATTGGGGTGGGCACCAGATTCACTGGCTGCTGTCCCTGGTCGCGCTAGCGTGTGCAAGCAGTTCACACACTCTGGACAGGAGCCGCAGACTGCTGTGTGGAAGGGATACCTTTCTGGGAGTGTACAAGCTGCTCGCACATACTAGCATGACCCGGGACAGCTGCTGGTGAGGCTGCTACCTGCCTCAGTAAATGGGGCTGGGGGCATTATAGCCATGCCAGAGGACCTGCCCATGCAGGGCGCTGGCTCCTGTGAGCAGCAGCCCAACATGCTGTTCCTTTGGCGCTGCAGTTCCTGGTCAAGCCCTGCAGCTCTGTGGATACCCAATTTATATCCACAGATATCTGCATCCACGGATATAGATTTTGGATCCGTGCAGGGCTCTACAGATACATGTGAAAAGACACCTCCTTCCCACTACTGCAGCTTTAGTAACAGCCAGGGAGTGATGGTGTCTATCTGAGGTGACGTTACTTGTACAAAACCCTATTTGCATACTTACTCAGCTAGAGATATTAATAGAAAAATGCCCTAAAAAGCTGTTGTTGGGCTTGCAGAGCCACAAACTCCAGGATACTTATTTCATTGGAAAAGATGAAAAACAAATCTAACCCTCCTTGATTCCAAAGCCATTTCATGCTAAGGCGGGAGAGGTGAGATTATAGACAATAGGTATAAAGAGAAATGTAGCAGATCTCCTGAAACCCCAGACAGATAAACTGTGTCCTAGTCCCTTATTTTTTAGGGATAGTTATCTTTAAATGTTGGATTATGATTGAGGGCAAGCATAACTTTGTTTTAATTATATTGGTTCTACTCAATAAACTTTGATCATTTATATACTATACATTCCCTAATATTTATTACAAGAGTAATGTCATGCCACAATAATTACATTATTAGGAGTATTTCCTAAATACCAAAACACTGCTTCAGTCAGTTAGAAAGAGGCGGAAATGAGGGAAAATAGAAATGTAGTGTACCTCATGTGCATGGCTTTGAACTTGTTCTTATAACCTGAAATCTCACCAAACTTTTGCAGCACAAGGAATAAAGGCTGTGTGGTTATAGATAAAAAGCCCTACATTCACTACTCACATATTTTAATATTATTATTTGATTTTTCTTACAGGGAGGAAGAATTTGATGAGTATTTTCAAGACTTGTTTCTCTGATACTTCATGTGGAAACATAGATTAATTTCTTCTTGAATTGTAATGATTCATATCTGAATACCAAATCAAATTTAGAAACCTATATTTTTTTTTTCCTGTAAAAATTCCATTAAAGGCACTGATCCTACAATTGACTGTGCGTGGACACATACCCCTGCCTACATAGGGAGCATTACTGATTTCACTTGGAAGACGATAGATTCCCTGATTTCACTTGGAAGACGATAGATTCCCTGTACATTAATGAAGAATGACATATAACATACTTTGTTATAATTTATTTTCAGCTGAGTGTATTGTAAAGTACAAATCTAAAAAATTATAGAAGACACTGCACATTAACCTCAAAAGAGGGTGAGAAGGAGACATATCAGAATGCAGTTTACTGATAGACTGCAGTGTTTCCAGTATTTTCTTCCATGCTGTGCTTTTTAGTTAATTGTTTTAAAGGCATATTCTAGTTGACTCCCTGTTCTGTATTAACCACTAAACTCTTTAATATATATATATATAGTTCTCTTTTAAATCTATTAAACCATGCAGCAAGAGTTCGTGGATTTAAATTAATCAGTCAGGCGGTGTTTAAGACTCAGACATCTGTATGTGTAAATCTTCTTGAAATATTGATACTGAAGTTTCCGATTCTATAAAACTTACATTTTGCTTGGCCTAAGTAAATCTTTTCTTCCTAAAATTAATGATGATGTTTTCTTTAATGATTTTGTATAAGCGTTAGTTCACTATTACCCTCCTCATTTTAAGTCTTTTATTTTAAGTGTTGTTTGACTGACAGTCCCATGGTCACTCTACTAGTCGTTCGGGATGTTAGCTTGTCATATTTGTTTTAATAAATAAGGTATGTGGTTTGCCTCTGGGAAACCTACATATGGCTAACGCGTTATCTGTGGTTTCTGATCCCCTTAGCAGTGAATGAATGGTAATCCTACTTTAAAGTGTAATCCTGAGCATACGAAACAAGAACATATAATAACACTTGAGACTTACTGGTTTTTTTCCTATTCAAATTGCAGCATAACTTTAAATTCATTTTATTGTATGTTTCCAAAGAAACAGTCTGCACAAGATTAATTACAGTGTCCATTCTTTTTTCAATGGAAGATTACATCAGCTACATAAGAGACATTTGTGTTACCACAGTATTGAATGAAATTTACATTTTAAACAGTCTCGTAAAGTTAATGGTTTATAAAATACTGTCTGTATTTTTGAAAGCTGAAACCTTAATTGGATGAGTCGTTCATGCAATAGATGCCATATAACAAAGTACTTGGTGTAGACAACATAATTGCAGACATGGTTGTAATATATCCATGAACATGTTATTACATGTGAATGATTTATGTGTATATCCACATATCTATATTTACATTCAGTATTACTTAACATAATACAATTTTAACAGTTCATACATACAGAAGGGATGACAGTTCAGACACACATTTAAGGTGTCCTTGAATAACAAGTAAAGGTAGCCTTGTGTGTGTGGAGTCTTCTTTAGGTAAGAAGATGGATTTAAAGGTTAATTCTTTGTCATCTTGCAAGCTTGGTTGGGAGCCAAATCCAATCTGCAGCAATCAGCTTAAGTCTGTGTAACTTGTCTGTAGGGGCTTTAGTAGAGTCTGTTGCTATATTTGCTGCTGCAAATACTGTAGAATAGGCATGTATTTTGGATACCTAACTCTTCTCTGGGCCGTCACAAGGCAGTTATAAAATGGTACAATACACATATTAAATATGTTGTTTCATTTAATATATTTTGAATTAAAAGTAGATGATAAAAGCAAACTTGGTGTTTCCTCAGATCTACATTTAGTACAGAAAATAATACATTATAACCAGTTTATGGCATTTTTAAATCTGCATATATATTTGGCCCATTAATACATTAAGGATACAACAAATGGGAATTTATTGGTGGAAGGGTGTTTTATTTCTCATTATAGTTGCACAATATCTGTCTTACGTATGTGAGAACATTTTTGAAGCATTTTTTATAAAAATGCTAGGATATGGGGCAAGAGAGAAAGGAGAATGTAGTTCATTATGCCATGTATACAGCATAATTTTGGTGTTACCTGTGCACATTTAGAAAGAATAGTGTTTAATGTCTGGAGATACAAAATCACAGACTTATTAATGGAACTTTGGTCAGTAACTGCACATCACAATTGAAGAGAAAATTCTGAAATGTTTTTCTCCTTCTGCACTTTGTAGGGAAACTTAATATACAGTAAAAGTATTCATCATGGGGCAAATATTCCCCCTGCCTCCGTGGGTGTTAAGATTCCCTTCAAGCAGTAGAACCTGTACAATCCTGTTTTGGGGAGAAAGGAAGGGTGGTGGGATTCGGGGAGCCTGAACATGGGCAGAATAATTTCTGGGTACTGCAGGACCACCCTTTATACCTCTGCACTGTTAGATTTGGAATTGGGTCCAATGGATATGCTGGAATATGACTTTAGTACATAAATCCACTGTTCTTTCCCCTGCTTATGGGAATGCAGACACTCCAGACCAAGAGCGGGAGAGTGGCTGTGGAGAAGCTCCATTGCCATTCTTTATAGTTGCTTATGAAGAGACCATTAATGCACAGACTAGCTTCCTAGGGTGTGAAGACTGTTTTTTTCCTAATCTTGTTGGGGGTAAATTCAGTGATTCTGAAATACCAGACAAATTTATTGGTTATTCTGTCCAAAAATGTTGATATCCGCATTTCATACACCTTTTAAGAAGACATTTGAACATGTAAGTCCTGCTCCAGGGATATTGGTGTAGGTCCTTTGATAAATTCTTTATTCTAAATAAAAAGCTTACAGTTCTTAAGACTACATTTCGGTTTTAGGTAAAGAGACTGTTTTTGTTTATATAGCATGTCATGTTCAAGGGCCATTGGCAGATAAAAGTGGGCAGAATTGTGTACTTGTGGAGAAGGGAATGGTTTCTCCAAAGCCACTGCTGCAATTACAGATTGGCAGTGGTAGCTTCAGGAGGCCATGGGCCTGTTTTTTAGGCACAGGACTGATGTGAGTAGTTAGGTCTTCTGAAGTGGTAAAAGGGACAACTCCAGGATTGTTTAGTTGGGGTTTAGTTCGGTCCAGATGAAAGAAATAAACATAATATAAAAATGTAAAGCTGTGAGTTATGAAATTGTCTGCAATTTTTGGTTATGGTATGTGCAATTTAGATCTTGTCAACGAAATTACTGGTTGTAATCTACCATTAAAAATCATTTATATTTTTCTGGACAGTCTGCAGCATTTATACATTTTAATAAAAAATACTGTATATAAATTGAGTGACAAGAAACAATACCAAGAATTGAACTCATAATCAACTTATTTTGCACCATCATTCATGTTTTCTAGTTTTCAATGGATTCTGCCTCTTTTATGCCATTAGTAATGACACCGAATAGATGGCAGTTGTTTAAGAGGATTATCTGGCCTATGCTATCCTATGCTTTGCAGAAATCCACTGAGGCTTTTTGAAGTTCTTTCTAGATATTTTTTCCTGTAGCAGAAACATAGACTTTGAGACTCTTTTAGTGCCATTGAAATGCATTACAAAATTATACATGTTTTTGATTTGCCATCATCATCTCCGCCACCTCCTCCTCCACCTTTCGCTGCGTCTTGTTCAGCTAATAAAAAACACAAAAGGAATGTGAATAATGAGCAAATTCTTTTCATTTTAATAAGCTTCATTTTTTGCATTATAAATGTTAATTTTGTGACATGCATTTTAATTTTATTCTATAACACAAGTGTGTTTGTCCACTTGAAAACTGAACGCACTTTCAGGATTTATATATATTCTTTGATTAATATTGAACAACCAAACTGTTGACAAAGGGTGCAGTAGTTAATATCAGCATTTATCAATGGACAAACACACACTGAACCACTTTTACTGGAAAGTTTCAGCAATTATATACTTACTTAATCCTGTCCCTCTCCACCCTACCCCCCACAACTGAATAATGAAAGCCTTCAAAGGGAATAAACTCTTGGATGAATTATAATCTTTGAGACTATGGGGGTGGAGGGTATGGAAACTTTCACTTAAGTGTTGATTATGGTTATATAAACTTTTATCTAGCCCTGTAGAAATCTGTTACCAATCAAGAGAGAGGTACTTTTTTGTATGTTCAATAACTGCTGTCACTAACAGTGTTAACATCTCTCTCAAATGATTCCACACGTTTTTGTTGGTCTAAGTTCTGATCTGTTCCGTATAGTAACTTGTTTTCAGATTCATTTTAAGTTGACATACCAATATTAGAATTAAAACTTACATTTGAAAGCTGTGGATCACCATGTTACTAGGTTATTTTCGACCCTTTCCACCTGCATTAAAACATGTCACATAATCAGTGCCCTACCCTCTGAAATGTGTGGATATAATTAACAGTATGATATTAAATATAATTTGTTTTAATTTTATGTCTATTTTCTGTTCTGAACTTTCCACTGTTGTGGTTCAGCAAATATGTTTATTTCATTTTTTGTCTGCCTGATGGTTAGACAAGGAGGTGGTATAACCAGGTCAGTGTGATCTAGGGAAATGGCTGTATTTCAACATATTTATCTCTGAATAGTTTGTCTGAAGCAATTTAACAAACCCACAACCAACTATATGAAACTGAGAAGGATTTGTAAAACTCTGCAAAAATTAAACCATTGACCTGTTCTGTATTTACATAGCCTTGATTTTGGTGGTATAATAATTTATCACATTCTGTACCTTGTAAGTCTGCTTGACCTCATCCCAGTGTGCATTTTCAAAATACTGGATAACTTATAACCTTTTGTAATACTATCAATTATGTTAATATGCATATTGGCCAATTTCCTCATTGACTGCAAAGGACCGGCTGAGGATCTGGCCAGTTGTGTCTTCAGAGATGTCTGCCTGTGTGCATATATATACTTGGGGATGATCAAATTTTGTATAAGTCACAGTGATCACATCAACTGAGTAACCCCAAGTACCAGCAATTTTAAATGGTCACGATATCTGGTGAGAGTGCAAGTTTGCTATTCTTTCCAGACATATAATTTGATTGTTCTTTGAGTGGAATCTTAGTTTTAAGGGCTTGATCCTGCACCTATTAAAATCAGTGGGAGTGTGTCATTGACTTCAATTGGCATAAAATCAGACCCTAAATGATGATCTTCTTTGCCAATAATTTAGAAAGATGAAACTTTGTGTTGGTGTGAAATGTTGCTATTTTCAGTGGGATTTCTCACTTTTTGGCACTTCTAGAAGTTACATCCGTAAATCCCATATTTGGTGTCTCTTGTGTGGTGCTTACCGATAGATCCAGCTTGAAAGAGATAGGATTGCTACTACATCAGAAAAGTATACAGGTGCATATCAAATTAGAAGAAAATGGAATGTACTCCACACCTATAAAGTGTGTGTGTAGAGGGGTGGTTACCTGCTCCTGCCCTGTGGGGCTTAAAAGCCAGCCCTGGGAGAGAGCCAGGGCTGAGGGCAAGAAAAGCTAGGCTGATTGGGGAAATGGCTGCAGCTTGGCCACACTCCAATCAGGCTGCAGCTGGGCCTATAAAGAGGCTGCTAGGCTGAAGCTTAGCCAGAGTCTCTCTCTGCGTTCAGAGAGGGAAGGGTCTTGCTTGCAGGGACCTGAGGGAATACCTAGATTGGAGCAGGGCTGAGGGGGAAAGGCCGGGGGAGCAGGGTAGCTCCAGCCTGGAAACCCCCAGGCTGCGAGGCCTAGATTAGGGCCTATTAGGTACTGGGGTTGCAAGGGGGCAGCCCACGGGTAGACAGAGGCAGCAGGTCCAAACCCCCTCACCTGTGATGAGTGGCTGATACACTGCAGTCTGCCCTGGGGAGCGGGGCTAAGCGATGACTGGCAGTAGCCAAGACTGAGGTGAGATGGGGGTAGTGGGTGGGCATTCTCCGGGGAGGGGAGACCCTCAGGGATTGTTGGGGTTTACTGCCGTGGGGCAGCACCCCACTGGGAGGAGGCACCGGGTCCTGGGAAGGACTGGGGCTGGCGGCGAGGTGGATCACCAGATGGCAGAGGGCGCTCCAGAGGCTAACGAGCTAATTCCCAAGGAAACCAGCAGGAGGTGCCGCTGGGTGAGTCTGGCTCTATTACAGTGTGTAATAGATATCCTGATGCAATATAGCAAACAATTTATCTCTTGCAATTTTACTATAAGAATGAATTATTGTTGTAGTAGTCCATGCATGTTTATACAAAAGGTGGTGTGTTTTTGTGATGATAAACTTGACATGATAACTTAAGGTACTGTACACCTTAAGCCATATTTCTAAAATATAAGACTTTGAAAGTATTCAGGTGGACAGTCTTTCATTTCAACACTTGACCCATTTTGCTGGACTTCTCTTTCAAAAATTAGTTTTCAATAAGTGATGCCTTTTACAGCATGCTTAAACCACCTTTACAGTGTATCCTTCTGAATTTTTGGGTTAGTCTTATTGTTTAAACTGAGTCAGGAACTCTTTAGTTCTGGTCCAGCCTCTAACAGTGAGTTGGTGTGTGGCCTTGAGCAACTTCCACGTCTGTATAATACGGGAAGAAAACGTACCTACTTCCGATGGATATTGTGAAGATTAATGAATAAATTAATGATTGCACAGTGCCTTGAAGATGTAAAACGCTATTTAAGAGCAAGCTTTTTGTTCATGAAATTGTGCCTGCAGTTCACTTTTGGAGTCATTTGTCATAGCTTGTCATCTCTGATCCTTTCAAAGTAGCTCCGCTATTGAAGGGCTGGCACACTTTAGCCCTTATTGCTGCTGATCCAAATGCAGTTATTTTTATAACATAGTTGGATTCATTCACTCTTACACCCTTTATTCAATCTTATGGCCTTATTTTTTTACCAAATCAGAAGTCCTTTCTTGTCATCCCTTGAAGAAAAAGGTGTGGGCTTAGTTATAACCTCCAGTTCATCAAGAGAGTAAAACTGTTGAGTCATCACTAACTCCTGGAAGTTCACCTGCATTGACTCACCTAAGGGATTATTTCTCCCATTTCCTTTTCCACTGACAGAACTTTCGTGAGATGTTGATATTCTCCAGACTCTGGAAAAAGTTAAGATGGTTTTTTCCATGAAGAGTTGACGGGATCTGGTTTACTAGACCTGGCAACAACTACCATCAATTCCGTCAACATCCAGGAAACCTGACTAGGTTCCTCAGCAAAGTATTCTGAGATCTCTGGTAGGTTCTGCATACTTGAAAATGTTTTAAAAAGTGAAGCTTCCAGGTAGACACTCCTTACAAGATTGTTTGAAGGTTAGATCGTAGGAAGAAAAATGTTTACTCCTTAGCTACACTGTCAGTGAAGATTTCAAATTACCATGTTGTGAGAGTGCAGTATGATCAAGATCTTTTGAATAAGCTTATCCCCATCATGGATCTCCTCCCTGACTTTCATAAGTAGCCCATGAAATCTCAAATCCAGAAGACTAGGTATATGCTTTGGGCTGTGTTTGAGGCTTCACATAGAGCAGCGTTCTCTGACTTGTGAGAATGTAGTTTTAGCTTCAGAACTTGGGGCTGTCCTGGAAGGTTGAAGGGAAAGTGTTAGACTTATTTGAGGGATTTGCTTTCTTTGGCAGTGAAACTGGTGAAAAAAGATAAGAGACCAGGACAAAAGATCAACCCCAAAGATTTTTGCAGTTTTACAGGGAATATTCATTGCGTTTTCATTCTGAAGACAGTATACTGAACCATGTCCTTGTTCTCAGCTTGCTTTCCATCCTCTGGGTAAGCAGAGACAAGCTCAAATTGCTTAATAGTTTACAGGTTGACGCCCACAGAGAATCATTTCTAGCCCTTCTGGTGCCTGAAACTGCTTTATCCTTGGGTAAACAGCAGTTTTGTTAAGTTCAAAAAAGTCTTATTGACATGGTTTCACTTTCCAATCACCATGGTGATTTTGTCACACTTTCCAACATGGCAGTCTAGGACATCAGTCAAGTAAGTCCTGGATTATGTAATCTTGGCAAGTTACTCATCATTCCACTATACACAAAGCAAATTCTGCTAGTTCTGGCCTCACAGCACTTGAGCACTGAAATAAATGTGTATTTGGATGTGTGTGCTTCAGACAGAATATGCCAAGTGGTTGCGTAGTATATGAATGAAAACCTTAAAGATGCCTAACCTTTTTTGGCTGCTGCTTCTTCCAGCTTTTTCTTTTCTTCCTCAATAATTTTCATCTTTTCTTCATATTCATCAGCCTGTGTTTTCCATTCCACCCTGTTGTTCTGAAGCCCGTCCAACATTGGTGTAATTTCCTTGTGAAACCTTGAGAATTCCTAAATAAACAATACGAATTAATAAATTGTCCATTTATAATGAATGGTTGTTTTCAGATTCTAGCACGAAATCACAAATATTGTTGATGTGTACAGAAACTTCATTTGCTTTCACCTTCCAATTTTAGCTGTTTGATTATGTGGCAGGCACAGTGAGAGAGATTTAAGTTTGTTTTGTGTTATAAGCTCAGCACTTTGTTGGTGTATGCCTAGCTTGTGGGTTTTTCTGGTGAAGGGAGAAGATGAAGTGCAGTTGTGGTACTTGCTGGCACCGTTCCATTGGTGGTGGGGTATGAGGCCTGTGGTGGGAGTTTATCAGAAGTACCAAACTGAGTCAGTAACATCAAAGGCCCAAATTGTGTGCTGTAAAGTCCACCCTTTTCCCTAAGCCTCCCCCCGTCCCAATGCACTCTTCTGGTGTGTCTTTGCCCATACTCACTATATCTGTGATATCTGAAGACTGGACTTTTACCTGTTGCTGTTCAAAATACTACATTTCATTCTACTGCATGGCATTTTGGAAGAGCCTTAAAATCCAGATGGTGTAGAAACATAGATTACATTGCTGTTTAGAAGGTGTGAACAACTCAAGTACTTCCTGTGCTAATGCAGGACAGGTGCATACTTTTCATTGATCCCCAATCCATCCATGTGTTATGCTCTTCGTGTTAGTGGGGCTCTGTGAAGCTCTGTGATTAAGCTCTAACTCAGTTTTTTTAAGGAACTGAGCAACTTCTGGAGATGCTGAGTGCCATTGTGTTCCTTAGGATTTCAGGGGGTTCCACATCTCCAGAAGATGCTAAGCACCTTTTAGGAGTGTGTGGTACTATACGGGAGGAGGTGAAAAATCATGACTCTTTGAATGACAACTATTTGAATGACTAGAAAGGCCCCGCTAACATCTAGAATGTTTTAATCCAAACTATTGTTTGTCACTTGTGTCATTAGAATCAATACAAAGGAAGAATAAAAGTTTTATTCTTACCTTGTATACAAATGTACACACAAAATCAATGAAACCAACTTGAAGCTTAGGCAATTCATCTCCTTTGTTTCTGTCCATCATAGGCTAGAAAAGAATATCAATATTTTAATGTGAATTTGCGACATTTTGATTCAATAATAAGACAACTGTTACTGACAAACATGTCTTCAATAGCTATTATTTCATATTGAAGATAATGCTGTTTAACATGTTAAAATACTTACAATTGGCTGTTGCTCTAGCACAGTTCGCTCCAGATCACCTTGTTCCCAAAATTCATTCGCAACCATAAGGGCAACCTGAGAATGAGAATCTCCTGCGTTACTGATGTTGTATTAATCAATACAGTTGTAGAATGATGCTGGAATGTATTCAAGTCTTTCCAGAAAATGTTGAACAGTTTTGCTTGAGTTAATTAGGTTGTTTCATTTTTAAAACAACCAATTTTTTTCAAGCTAGGAGTGCTGCTGGTCCTTCAACTGGCAGAGTGATTCCTAATATATCCAGTAACAGATCTGCCAGACAGAAGGAAAATGTATAATCCTGTTATCATAGCTATTAATTGAATTTTGCCAGTATGTTTTTTGCTGTAATACTTGTGCATATTATGTATGTATCAACTGAACAAAATTACCTAGGAACTGACAGGAAACATTTTTGCATATTATTGAACTACTGAAACCTTGCTACCAGCTCCCCTCCTGCAAGTTTTCTTGCTACCAATGCTATCCATGAGATATTTGGAAAGGTTCTCCAGGAGGAGAGAATTCTGGTAAATAAAAAACAGCAAAATACCATCATTGTAGAACGTGTAGACACAAAACTACTCCACACTGTTCTTTCTGGGATCATTAACACACGGTATAGGTGAATTACAGAACAGGAGTGCTGCAGTGTGAGGCTTTTGTTATTAAACAAATGGTGTCTGCCATTTTGATGGTATTTTTGGGTATGCTCAATGAATGGTACATAGCTGAAAATAGTATTTTCCATGGTATTCCAAGACGATAGAGCAACATAATAAAAACTCCTAATTATAAAGTATATTGTGTTACATTATTAGAATAGCCATCTGCAGGCTAATGAATGTCTGTCTCCTGACATAGCTCTTTTGCTAGGCCTGCCTCTTACATACCTGATTCAAGATGTCATGATCAGGAAACTCTACTTTTAGTATACTCAGATGCCAATTGGAAAATAAATAGGATTTCATTCTTTGTGTGAAGGATCTATCTTTTTGTTACTATGGATCTACACAAACTCTGTTTCATCCCAGTGGAACCTTAGAGAGAATCTAATTCTAGTTTTAGAATTGTTCAAGGAAGTAACCCGAGAGATCAGCTCTGATTAAAGCCATCTTGTCTGTATAGATACCTATAATTCAAGCACTGACAGCATTTCTAAGTAGTGTGCAAGATGATCCCTTCAAAGCCATAAAAGCTCATATTGTTGAATCCATTTTAGAGTGACTTAATCACACTAAAATAGTGCAAGGATCTACATTTGTCTGTGTGTTGGTGTCTAGTTTAAGATCATGCTATTGTAAAAACCGCACCCTAAAACTGGCAGAAGAAAGGCAAGAATTTTGATAAAATAAAAGTGAGTGACAGTCAGTTATCAAGGATCCTTTAAAGAAAGCTAGAATGGATACTAGAGGCAGGGACAGCTATACTAATCGATTCGCAAATGGGAAGGTGGGGACAATGGGGCGACGCCACAGAGGGCTCATGGCGTGGACTGCCTAGCATAGATTGCCTTAATCCGTCTTTGCTTCCAGAAAATGGTGTCCAATTCTCAGGCACAATTTGTAGATGCAAGTGGTTATGCTTTGTTTTACACTTAAATATCTATAGACTTGCAATATAAAATGAATTTTCTGTATTGTCATTCACTGATGATGCAATGAGAGAGAGCAAATATAAATGTGTATGAAATCAAAATTAAAATATTTGTATACAATTTTTTTGAGATACTAACCTGACTTTGCACCTCCCACGGCTTAGTTATAGCTGACAAGTCACAACCAGTCATCATCATAGCCCTTTTGAAGAAACAGAAATACTATAAGTATGATAGAGAAAAAACCTAGGGGACAGATTTTTAAACTTATTCAGGCACCTAAAGGTGCAGATAGGCACCTAGTGAGATTTTCAGAAGTGCCTAGGAGACTAACTCCAAAGTGAAGCCAATGTGAGTTAGGTGCCTAGTCACTTCTGAAAATCCCACTAGGCGCCTATCTGCATCTTATGGCTTCTTAATACTTCTAAAAATCTGGCCCTAGATAACTGATTGAAAGAAGAGTAAGATACTGACTACTTACATGATAACTTCTTTTTTGGTTGGGTCGATAGATATATATTTAATTGCTTCCTCTTCTGTTTGCATTTTTTCAACTGCATCCACAATCTTTTGAAACATAGTCCGTTTCCTGTAAAAATATATGAATATTTCATATATAAAGTATTGGTATCCAAAAATGGCTGGGCTTTTGCATATTAGGTGCTTCTTATATTAATGCTTTTCTAAAATAGTATGTTTGTCTAACTCCCACTGAAGTCCATTTATTTTAATGGGAGTTATATTTAGGTATTATGTAGCTCATAGACTTGGCCATAGATTCCTGACATGTACTGCTTTTGTCAATATGTCAAGCTTTAATATGAAAAGCAAGAGATTTCCTAAATCTGTATATTGCTACTTGTGGTGACTTTATTTCTTGAATCTTATCCAAATATTGTCAGAGTTTACATATGTTCATTCTTGATTGATTCTGCAAAGAAATCCACTGGAAAAGGTGAAAAGATCGCTATTTATAAAGAGAGGTTAAGTAACATGCTATGTGATCCTTCTGGATGAGAGGTGCGATAGAGAGTTATTGCTTAATAAATCTCTTCATTTGCATTTAGAGGTTTCACCTCACTGAACAGAGTTGTAACACACACAAAACATTCTAATAAAATTAGAAATATTTATCATTCATTATAAAAAGTGCACTGAATATGGATTACTTGTTGACTTCCCTGTTATCTGCCAACTCTGAAGCGTCAAATCTTAAAACAGTTAAAGGAAAAGAGCTCCATGTGTCTTTTTTTAGAAAAACTTCAGCACTCGTAGGGCCTGATCCAGCATTCATTTTAGTCAGTGGGAATATTTACATTGACTTCAGTGGGTGGTGAATCAGGTTAGTTAAGATAGTAAATAGACAAATTATTTGACCATTGGAATTCTTGACACATTTGACACTGGAGATTTTTTAATGTCTGGATTTCTTTGATCATACTTTAATTTCTACATCATAGGCCATCCCTGTTTAAGTTTATGGCAGCATTTTGACAATTTCAGTATGAGTGATTCTAGTACAGAATAGCTACATAAAATATCACACACACACACCACACACACTACAATTGGACTACACTATCAGCATATTTAGTGCCTTTTAAAATATAGTGTGCACTGTCAATGGAAGGTGTGTTTGGATGGCCTAATAAATATATGCTATATATCAGTATGAGACATGGAGGAAAATTCATGATTTGTGTTTTGAGATTTAAGGGCCTCAAGTGAATTAAAAAAAATCTTATTCCTTATAACGAGCTTGAAGAATGACGTTTTTCAGAATAACTTCATTTTAAAATATAGCTCTATAATCTGTGTATAACTAGGAAAAACTACAGTCATGAATTGTACAGGATTAAGAATTTTTTTCAGTAGGAAGTTATACATAATTTAATACTTACTTGAAATACAAAGCCAAGTCAGTTGCTATTATTGCAACTTCAAATAAATGTAAAACGGTTTCAAACTGGCGCTTATTTAGGTTCTGGAAGATGTTTAAACTCTGCAAGATGGAAAGTTTACAAATTCAGTTCCTCTTACAAAATTATCTTTGGTTTGTACTCTACAGGCTGTACCTTAGTATATTACAATAAGCCTGCTATACAGCCATCTATGGTTCCTTCAATCAAAATAAAATGTTAGGTGCAGTTTTGGAAAAACAGGTGTAGCTAAAAAAAAACAGGTAACCTTATGGTGTACTGTGAGGAGAGTTGAAGATGGTTTAATAAGAACACCAAAATTATTTTATATTCCATAGCCTAAACACTTCTGTTACTATTGATGTGATATTATAGTGACAATAGTAAGACGTTTGATTTTGAGTTATCTGAAGCAATATACAAGTACAGTGTTTGCAAAGGTAAGAGTGAGATTTCCACAGGCTTTCTTCTTTTTCTGAAAGGCCCTACAAATGTTGAATCATGTCTTAAAATAGCTTGGTCTAGGACAGTTGAAATTGGGAGGTAGTTAGATCCTTGAATTTTTAGTAAAATAACAAAACAAATAATACATATGCCATGTTGTAGCTGTGTTGGTCCCAGAACTGTGGAGAGACAAGGTGGTTGAGGTGTGGTATCTTTTATTGAACCAATTTCTGTTGGTGAGAGAGACAACCTTTTGAGCTTGAAGAGCTGTGTAAGCTCAAAAGCTTGTCTTTCTCACCAACAGAAGTTGGTTGAATAAAAGATATTACCTCACCCACCTTGTCTCTCTAAAATAAATAATACTTCTACTTCCTTGGACAAACCAAAATAGAAAGTAGCTTTGGAGCTCCTGTGGAATGGTAAATTATGAGAATATCTGAGCAACTACAGTCTTCACTTGCATGATGCAGTGAGCAGCCAACACATGCTCACCATGAAGTTTAATTATCTTTTATTGGCTGGATCCCTGCCCATCCCATATCTTATCCAGACCACATTGTTTTTGGGAGATGCATACCTGTTCTCCATTTTCAAACCTCTTAGAATAAAGATTGAGTGGCATTTATCTTAAAGTGAAACAAGAATTTGCTTGGAATGTAAACCAGTGGATTCTAATAAGGTGTGATTATGAAAACATATATAAAGCAGTTCCTATATTCCTTGTGGTGGCTAAACTAGATGGGTGAAATATCTGATCTGCTCTTTTTATAGTAACGGAATCTAGAAGAACTGCCCAAGGGCCACCTTGTTTTATATTAGCTCTTTTTTGGTGTCCTTGGTAGCAGAAACTCCCTTACTGTACAGCTCCTGTTGGGGCATAGTTGCTCCTTCATACATCTTGCAGATTGAGGGGGCAGGGAAGGGATGACACTAGGCAAGGGCCCCATGGCCTTTTGAAATTCATAAGGATAGATAGCAGCCTAACCATCCTCGACTTCAGAGGGCAGACAGGATGAAGACATGTTCCCATTCCTACTGCTGCTAAGTTGAGAGCAGGGTCATAAGTGCCTGATGATTCCAAGACAGTAGCTGGGGAACCCCTAAAAGTTAGCATTGTAGTGTCCTTGAAGCCCGTAGTATGGAACCCAGCGGGGATTCATGGATTTGAGAGCTAGGAATTATGGAGCATTAATTCTCCTGCTTTCACTTTAGTAGTGCTGGCAGTAAGGCTGTGGGTGTGTTTGTGATTTCACTCAGTGGTGAAGGGTGTGACTGCTCTCTAACCTTATTGGTTGGAGAGCAGAAGCCCTTAACTAGCACCTCTTTTAAGATGGAGGGAATGACTACCAAGTGCCCTAAAGTCCTTAAGAAAAAGAGACCACCTTTGGAGCAGGAAGGATCAGGCTGCCAGTCACCCCAGAAAACATCTGTTACCTTTGGAGGAGTCATGGGGAAAGGGGATGGTTGGATGGGGCTGGGATAGGTGACCTATGGCTGTGTGATGGGCTTTACCCCATGTCAGTGAACTGTACATGGACCAGAGCTTATCTTCCCAGATTGCACTAGACCCCAGATCCACTCTGTTCTTGGGGTGTTATGAAGATGTAACTCTGCTACCTGTATACACAATTAGAAACAAACAACATAACCTACAATACATGTAACACAGCAGGACCAATTCTTCCCCATGTTCATTTGCTTGTATGTTGTAGCCACATTCCCCGCCTTTCATGTGTCTAGATTTTAAGCCTTTCAGGGCAGTGATTCTTTTTTCCATGTAAGTACTACTGATAATATATCACATCTGACTCTAACCTAAGCTGCTGCTCTCCTTCCCCTCCACTGAAGAGAATGAGGATACTGAGCTTTCGATAGCCTCAGACTTTGACATATTTCTTAGACTGTTTAAGCTTTTTGGCCCCTCTCTCTCTTCCCCCTTAAATTGGGGAGAGGAGGAGAGCTGCAGTTCAGATTACAGCCTCTTGTGATATCAATATTCAGGAGCTCCAAAGATCTTGACAAGTTTCTCCAGCAACAAGAGGAAGTTAGGGTCTGATATTTCTAGAATGAAAAACAAGTAGAAAAATATTTTCAAAAATGTTTGAGGCCATCTTTATTCATGAAGCTCCCAGCTAGTTTCCCATCACCACAGTGTTGAAGCATGGTATTTATGGATTTATCCTGCCAACCTCCCTGTGCAGGAGGGAAATAGTACACTTTCACAAGTGGGAAATTGAGGCATAGTGAGAGTGGTTGACTTGTCGAAGGGCACACAGGAAGTCTGTAGGAACGGCTACAATGCACACTCCTTTTGTGGAGTACATACACTGCATTCCCCCCCAACATGGGTACAAATAGCAGTGTAGACGGTGAGGCACTGCTTAGGTGAGTAAAGACATGCCTGAACCCTGCAGATATGTACCCTATGTGTGTCTCTACTCCCCCAAGCAGTGCCTTCCCCATTACACTGCTATTTTTAGCAGTGTAGTATCCCATTGCCTCCCCACTGTTAGAGACATTCCCTGCCAGTGCCTTTCATTGCCGTATGTAGCTACAAACTGCTGTGTGGAGGCAGCCTGCTTTTCACTGCAGTGTGTAGCTACACATATCCTACTTGCTCCCGCAAGAGGTGTGCAGTGTAGAAGTAGCCTCACCCTCTCCTTTATTTCTTTAAACAAACTAACAATGACCTTTGTGGCAGATGCTTTTCTTCCCCCCCTCCCCCCCCACTTCTCTTGAACAGCACAGTGGGGAGAGCAGGGGTGGGAAGGATTCCAGCCCTTCAGTGCAGCACCATTCAGGGTGAGAGGGACTAGCAGCATCTGTAACATCTTCTGAAGCAGCACCATAAAGTGCAGTCTGGGGAGGAAGGTACATGTGGGGTTATTTAGTCTCCACATCCTAAATGAGCTCCTCTCTCCACTGCACATGCTCAGAAGCTGCCTTTTGGTTATCCCCAAAGGCTATGTCTACACTGCAATAAATACCTGCAGCTGGCCCGTGTCAGCTGACTCAGGCTACAGGGCTATAAAATTGCAGTGTAGATATTGGGGCTTGGAATGTTGACACTGCAATTTTATAGCCCTGTATCCTCATCCCCATGACCCTGGTCAGCTGACACAGGACAGTCACAGGTGTTTTATTGCAGTGTAGACATACCCAAAAAGTCTGAGCAGTCTCAGTGTAGAGTTTCACGATCAGTGTCTTGGGAGCAACACCAGGGTCCCAAGAAGGGAAAACTGAAGGAGCAAGGAGAATTAGTGGTGGGAGTTACAGCAAAGGAGCTATCGAAGGAGGGGAAAGAGTGCCAGCTGTTCAATTGATTTTATTTGGGAAATCAGAAACAACTGTGAGTGAAAGTGAGGGTATGGGGGAGCCTGGAATCTTATTTCTAATCACAGCCCAATCACTTACTTTGGGCACCAGATACCATTCCTAGGAACTGAATCCAGATCTCCAGAATCTTAGTCTAGTGCCTTAATCCCTAAAGCATTCTTTTATTTTGTGTTGCAGATCGTTAACTGTGTTGCAAAAGTAGAAAAAAGTTCTAATAGTGTGAGTTAAGCATAAAGGGTAAATCCTACAGTCCTTATTCAGACTGTATTTAGACAACAGTTCTGTCACTGTCAATGGAGTTGCATGTCTATAATTGAGACCAGAATTTAGCCCATGTGTAAGAGTTTATTTTGAACATCATAGCTATTGTAAGTTTTGGTTAAAGCCTTAACATTATTTGAATATGGCTAATTTTAAGAAAGTATTTTCTTGGAAATCTAATCCAAACAAAATAGCCAGCCAGCAACCTAAGAGTAATGAATTCATCAGAGAGATACAAAGTTAAACCCAGGCCTCTTGGAAAGGTCAGAATCTATAAAAGAGCTTTGGTATTTATCAGTTTTAGTAGAAAGTGCTTTTATACTAACCTCGTCTTGTAGCAGAGTTTTACTGTACTCTAGATGATGTCTTTCTAAAATGGAAGATCCATGAAGTTTTGCTAATGGAGCAGCTGACCTGTTGAAAAACAAATAATTGTTTACAGTGTTTCAGAATACATATTTTTATGACTGTTTTAAGTTTGTAGTATTAACGTTCTATCGAGCTGCATATTCCACAGAGGGAGTTTGAAATGGTTTAACATTGCTTGACTAACCTAGTTCTGTGGCATGACACAGAACAATACCTGGTTAAAAATGACACAATACGTATATGCCTTCAGCACTGTCATTGAGAAAAGATCAAGGGAGAGAGTTTCAAAAACACAAGGAACAGTTAGGTGCATAACTCCCATTTGTGCCTTTGAAAATTTACCCCATTTTGTCCTGTGTGTTAGTAGTTCTTGTTTCTTTAATCAATGCACCTTCCCTGTGTAGAAATGTACCTATTATCCAGCTGTTTGTATTTATAACTTTGGTAGGCTCTTGACCTTTCTTTTGGTTGGTATCATTCAAAGTGGACCGTGCCACTGCATTTCTAATTTATTATGGTTTGCTTAAATCGACTATGCAATGCTATTTCATTCCTTTCATGTCCTTGGGCCCTATCCCGCAGAAAGTACTTATAGCTTTATGACAACGCAGTCTGTGGAAGTTCATACATCGTCAGCCTGCCACAGAAACCCTTCTTCTTACCTCATGCTGAGTGTTAAGCAGAAGTAATTCCAGTCTACACTAGAGTTCTGGGCAGTGAGGGAGAGGGTCATATTCATGCTTTATTGTAGTTGTTTTGAACATGGGCCATGCTTAGCTTTTCTTTTTCTTTTCCTTGGCTAACAGGTCAATTTCTGGGGTGAACCAAGGAGGAATGTGCATGCCATTCATTAATCTGTACATGTGGTAAAGCTGTCATAGATTGCTCACCCTGGCTGACCTCATGAATGGACCTTTCAGTCAGGGAGGATCCTGGTAGGAAGATCTGGCCTCAGCCCTTTTAAAGTTCTTTGGCTGAGCGATGCTCAGTAAGAATAATAGAATCATAGAATATCAGGATTGGAAGGGACCTCAGGAGGTCATCTAGTCCAAAAAAATCACCCAAAGTTCAAAAGTTCATCTGCAGAGTGTTACTCCCCAGGCTGGCTAAAAAGGTGCCTGTGGGGGGTGGGGGGTGGGAAAAGAGGTAAGGGGCAATCAGTCTGTCTCTCTCCTGTGTCAGCTGGAGAATCCCTGACAATAATCAGAAAATCCCTTAATGCCACTGCCACAAAGTACAACTTGAAAGTTCCTTCATGGTAGAGGATGAGGGTTGTTACCTAATAAGTCATTCTGCATAACTGGCAGGATAGTCTCCTAAAGATCATGATTATTATGTTCCCTAGCTACTGGGGACTAAGAGCCTATGGAGTTCTTGTTGGCTAGCAAATGCACAGAAGCAAGTGATTACAATGTACAGTATATATTATGAGAGAGAATGTATGAAAGATTAATTGACCTACAGATGAAAAGTGGGGCCCTAGTTATGCACAATGATGTAAAATGCAGAAAAAAATAAATTTTAAGTGTGTATACATATTGGATCACTGCAAACATTTACTAGTGAAAAGGAAACCCCTCTACCTCCCCGCCCCACCCATCATTTACAATATTTTATACACAGAGCTATGGCCACCAGATCCTTACTGGTGTAAATTGGCATCGCTCCATTGCAGTCAGCAGAACTACACTTATTTACACCAACTGTGGCTCTGACTCTCTCTATTAGTTTTTTTAAATCACTGTACCGAGCATAAGTCTGTTCTGTCTGATGACATTCCTAAAGGGACACACAGTATTTTAGCTTATCTTCAAAAGTAATATTTTGCAAACTGAGCTTTAGAATAATCTCTTGAAATAAGTCTGAAATCTATTTCCTTACCAAATTGTTTTTCTGTATCGCACTAGTTTGTTGCACAGTTGCTTATGAGTAGTGGGCTGGCAGCAATATCTTAAGGGGACTTGACACAAAATATTACAAGGACTTGGCAAACTTTGTACAAGAAAATAAGTAGGTCAGGCTTTGTTATTGCATTCCAGCCATGATAATGTCTTTATGAATTTGCTCCCCACACACCTACATTGCCATTAAATCTTGCCACTTCTTTCTCTAACATTTTGAAAATCCTATTTTGTCTCTTCATCCTGACAATTACAACACCATAGACCAGTGTTTTAATCTCCCATCTTAACTACATCTTCCCCCAATTTGGCCTCCCTACAGCCAAAATTACTACTTTGTTAATTCGCAAAAAGAAAAGGAGTACTTGTGGCACCTTAGAGACTAACCAGTTTATTTGAGCATGAGCTTTCGTGAGCTACAGCTCACTTCATCGGATGCATACCGTGGAAACTGCAGCAGTATGCATCCGATGAAGTGAGCTGTAGCTCACGAAAGCTCATGCTCAAATAAATTGGTTAGTCTCTAAGGTACCACAAGTACTCCTTTTCTTTTTGCGAATACAGACTAACACGGCTGTTACTCTGAAACCTGTCATACTTTGTTAATTGATCATATGTCACAGCCCTCTCTGCGTTGCTCCACTGCATTTGCCTTACACAGAGTATCCAGCTAAAACTTCTAGGATAAGACCTTGCAGCATAGTGGAGGGGGAAGCTAAGGTGGCTTTAAGCCAGCTTTGCACCCTCCCAAACCTGGGCTTCTCTGCGTAGCTTAGAGTATGTTTACACTGCCATTGAAGGTGTGATTTGCAGCTCATGTAGGCATAATGTGCTATCTTTAATCTAGCTAGCTAGTGTGGGTAAATACAACAGTAAAGATATGGCAGTGTGGACCCTAGTGTAGGCTAGGAATGTTAGTAGTTTGGGGTAGCTTTTATAGCTCGTGCTAAAGCCTGCACGAAAACCTGTGCAGTCACATCCTCACTGCTATTTAGCCACTCTAGCTAGATTAAAGGTGGCTTGGTATGTGTACAAGAGCTGTAGTCGCAGCTCTTGGCAGTAGGGGTCTTTTAGGGTATGTCCACACTGCAGCTGGGAACATGCCTTCCAGTCAAGGTAGACAGACAAGCGCTAGCTCGGCTCGAGCAAGCACACTAAAAATAGTGGTATGGACATTGTGGCATAAGTGGTGGCTTGAGCAAGCCACCCAAGTCCATGCCCACATGACCCCCTGGATCTGTGCTCAAGCCACTGTCCATGCCAGAATGTCCACAATGACCGAGAAGGGGAAAAGCATCTTCAGCCACTGCCTAGCCAACCTAGTAAGGAGCCCTTTAAACTAGGTTCAAAGGGGGCAGGTGACAAAAGCCCACAGGTATAAAAAAAATGACCTTAACAGAAGGCTAAATGTTCAGTCAGGAAGAGGGCAGAGACAGAAAATTACAACAGGGTCCACAGGAGCAACCAGAGTGATCACGTGGTGGGGATGAGGAATCTGCTTGACGTTTTAGATGTCTGTTCACAAATGCAAGGGGAATAAACAGGAAGAACTGGTAGTATGAGTACATACGCTAAAATATGAATGAATGGGATAAATCTCATGACTGAACTATTGATACAGAGGAGTGCAGCTTGTTCAGGAAGGACAGGCAGAGAAAAAAGGAAGGAGGTGTTGCATTATACATCAAGAATATATACACTTATTCTGAGGTCCAAAAGGAGGTGAGAGGCAGACCAGTTGGAAGTCTCTGGGTGAATATAAAAGGAGGGGAAAGTCATGGTAGAGGGACTATTATAGCCCAAATAAGCAAGAAGAGGTAGATGAGGCATTTGTAGAATAAATAATAAATATCCAAGACCTGGTAGTAGTGGAGGACTCCCCAGAGATCTGTTGGAAAAGTAATACGGCAAAACACAAATTGCCTAATAAGTTCTTGAAATGTGTTGGGGACAACTTTTTGTTTCAGAAGGTGGAGGAAGAAACCAGGGGGCAGTCATTTTAGGCTTGATTCTGACCAACAGGAAGGAATTGGTAGTGAATCTGAAGGTGGAAGGCAACTCAGTTCAAAGTGATCATGAAATGATAGATTTCCTGGTTCTAAGGACAGGAAGGAGTCAGAGTAGCAGAATAAAGGCAACGAATTTCAGAAATGCAGACTTAAGCTCAAAGCAAAGGAGGTAAGATCCCATGGGAAGAAAATCCAAGGGAAAAAGGAGTTCAGGAGAGCTGGCAGTTTCTCCAAGAGGCAATATTAAAGGTGCAACACCAAAAACAATCCTGATATGAAGGAGAGATAGGAAGAATAAGAAGAGTTAACTATGGCTCCAGCAGAAGCTCGTTAGCTGAAAATCAGAAAGAAGGCCTAGAAAAAATGGAAATACAGACCAATTGCTCAGGACAATTACAAAAGAATAGCACAAGCAATTAGGAACAAAAATTGAAAGGCTAACGCTCAAAATGAGTTGCACCTAGCAAGGGACATAAAGGCAATTAGAGGAGGTTTTATAAATATATTAGAAGCAAGAGAAAGAGGACGGAAAGTGTAGATCCTCTAGTTAGTGGGGAAGGAGAAGCAATAAAAGACAACATCAAGAAGGCTGATATATTTAATGCCTATTTTGCTTCAGTCTTCATTAAAAAGGTAAATTGTGGCCATATACATAACATAATTAATGTTAACAACAAGGGGGAATTCACTGTCCCACTGAATTCATCTGATGAAGTGAGCTGTAGCTCATGAAAGCTTATGCTCAAATAAATTGGTTAGTCTCTAAGGTGCCACAAGTCCTCCTTTTCTTTTTGCGAATACAGACTAACACGGATGCTACTCTGAAACCTGTACTCAAAGACTAGTTCATGGTCAAACTGTGACCCACAAAGGTCAGTCCTGGGTCTGATACTGGTCAATATTTTCATTAATGACTTGGATAATGGAGTGGAGAACGTGTTTATAAAATTTGCAAATGATACCAAGCTGGGAGGAGTTGCAAGTACTTTGGAGGTCAGGATTAGAATTCAAAACTATCTTGACAAATTGGAGAACTGCTCTGAAATTAGACCAAGCAGATGAAATTCAATAAAAAAAACTGTACAAAGTACTTCACTTAGGAAGGAAAAATACACAACTATAAAATGTGGAATAAATGACTAGGTGGTAGTACTACTGAAAAGGGTCTGGGGGTTATAGTGGATCACAAATTGAATGAATAAACGACGTGATACAGTTGCAAAAAAAAAAAAAAGCTGATATTCTGGGGGTCTGTTAACAGGAGTGTTATGTATAAGACACAGGAGCTAATCGTCCTGCTCTACTTGGTCCTGGTGAGGCCTCAGTACTATATCCAGTTCTCAGCTCCACACTTTAAGAAAGATGTGGACAAATTGGAGAGAGCCCAGAGGAGAGCAACAAAAAGGATAAACGGTTTAGAAACTGACCTATGAGGAAAGGTTAAAACTGGACATGTTTAGTCTTGAAAAAAGAAGTCAGAATCCAAGCATAAAAGTGGGTCACCCTCTCTTTAAGACAAATTAGGAAAAACATTAGCTAAGAGAACTCCTTCCTCAGGCTCTCCCAATGTCTTGGTGTTTTCATATAGGTTATAAATACTCTGTCAGACCCTCTTGATAGATGTGCTTTGTATAGCGCTGAACATACAGTGCATGCTTTCCAAATAATTATGGAAAATAGTATAGTTTGTATCTTTGCATGTGCTGATATGTTCACATCTTTCTTTTAGTTACTGGTACAAATGTTATATGTACAGGTGTTTGTACATATAAATCAGTGTAGCTGAACTTACTTCATCTGATACAAATTATTGGTCCCTCTGTGATCAATGTCATGGCAGAAAGCAGCCGCAACCATGGCGAAGGCTTCGAGATCGGTATAGTATTTCTTTAGTCTACCTGTCTATAAAGCAGGAGAGACTTTTTTGAGTATATACCTGCTTGAAGTTTACAATTTCTGTTGAATTTAAAAGAACTACAAATTGAATGTAAGGTAAGTTTTCAGTGACAAAACATACCATTAGTAAGGTGAACATTGTCTGTCCCACGTTGAATCCATGCCGCCAGTTATGGTAAGTTATATTTCGATAACCCTTTCTGACTGTGTACATCCATCTTGTAAGTACCTGTTTCAAATAAAAGGCATATCCTACTCAATAGTGTTAAAATATAACCAAGTCCTGGAATGTGTGTAAAATTAAGATGGAATTTCATATCTTTACAGGAAAATATGCAGCTTTTGGAAATTGTTTCTAATTAAAATAAACATACTTTATATACTTATTATGAATCTGTGAAAAAATCTACTCGGAACAGTGGAAAGGTAAAAGATATAGAATGTTTTATATATAAAAAGCTAAGAACAAATGTATGCTACCGTTGCTTCTAATATTTTACTGTGGGACAGTTCTAGTTAAAAGAACTTGGTACTAAGGGGAAAAATGTACCTAATATGACAAAATAAATCTGACCTCTGCTGGGACTTTGAATTTTTCAACCACATTTATCTCAAAGAATAATCGTATTCCACACTTAATCAAGCCATGCTCTGTAACGGGAAAGTCACTGAAGCGGAATTCATAAAGTTCCACTTCCTTTGGATCAGGTAATTCCTCTCTCTGTTAGGAAAAAAAAAAAAAAGACCACAACAGTTTTGCTTTGTTAGAAGGAAACTAGAGTAAATTCAGTTTTTTCCTTGCTTTTTTTACTCTATCCCTATATAAAGAGTTCATGGTCAGGCCTATCATGTGTACATAGCTCTCAGGTTTCAATGCACACTACTGTATATTAAACTATAATATATACTTTAGATCACTGCTGTTTTTCTGCTCAGAGGGGATGGGTACCGTTTATTGCTTCCTGCAAACTGGTAGTTCTTCCCCACCTGTATTCCAACAAAATCCACATTACAATTATAGTTTCTTTAGCCCTATATTGAGTAAAACCAATGGTTACTTTATTTTAGAATGCATTTCTTAATTATGCATATAATTATTGTACTTCAGATTATTATTATTATTGTATTACATACCTCACCTGTGGGACTTCAGTGAATCTTTGGGACAGATGATCAACTGTTACCCTAGAAATCATGGGTGCTACTGAGGGTGGGGAGGGATCATAGTTCAGGGCTACCTGGGCCTCTGACTCCCTTCCCTGGTGTCTTCTGAGTGCACCCGCCTCTAGCTCTTAGGCCTCTCACCTTCCCTCTATGGCAGAATCCCATGATTCTCCCACCAAGAAAGATTACTCAGCAAGTCTGACTGGACTCAATACCTGCAGTTCTTCCCTTCAGGAACTTGAGACCAGCAGTGAATAAAGTGACCCAAAACAACTTTCTTAAAACTATGTATTGCTGAATCTTATCAGTAGGAATACAGCATAGCCAGAGAAAAGTATTTTTAGGGCAATAAAAGGCCTACATGCATGTTTATCTTGACTAAAGACCTGCCTTCCCTTAGCAGAGACCCTAGTTGGGCTAAGCTACCTTGAGACACTCCCAACCTCTGGAAGGCAGTTTCTTCCCCTTAAGCATCTCACAAAACCAATCCCTCTCCCCTTCAGAGAATGTCCCTATAAATCCCTCTCAGCCTTTGATCTCCCCACCTTCACAGAGTGGGTGACTTAGTCCTGGAAAAGTTGGTCTGGCGAGCTCACCAGGGAGGCGGAGGTAGCATATCAGTTAATAATCCTAGGTGTTTTCTGAGGAACTCTTATCTGGGCCACTGTCTGTCTTCCTGGGTAGTTTTTTTACCATCTGGCTAAAGTACAGTAAATATCTTAACAATGCTCAGGCAAACATAGAACTGATGTATTTGGTAGATTACAGGAAACTCCAAATCCATCACAGTCATTTGCCCCCCCTACCTGCTTGTGGATGGTTCTGTGCCAGTTGTGTCCCTAGTGTAGTTTAGAGCAAACTCTGCTCTAAACTACACTGGCTTCCAGTCACCCCAAGGGACAGTTCTGGCAGCAGAGGACTGCCTGAGTGGATGCTCTTCCCCCTCATGAATACCCTTTATTTTAGAGGCAAGTGTAGCTACTGTCAGAAATGACCACTACCCTGTCTGCTTGGTTTAAGACTGCTTTGCACTGGGGGACCACCAACAAAGCAGATTTAATGTGTATGAAGATCTCTAGCCTTTAGAGTTATTAGCACAAAAGATCTCTATTTTCACTTATGACTTGCTTTATTTATATTAGTTGCACTCATACACATACAAATAATACACCAAGGGTATTTACTCATGATGCTCAAATGTCAGGAAATGCAAAAATTAAGACTCTTGTACTAACTTTAATTTGTCCACATTGTACATAAGCTATTAAATATATATTTATACTATAACTAGTGGTGGTAATAATTATAAGTACCTAGATCATAGGTCTGGTTTTTCAGTAGTACATCTCAAAGCCCTTTACAAAGGAAGTCAGTGAAATGTCAGATTCCATTTTACAGATGGGGAAACTGGTAACTGAATATATTACAAGTGTAATGTGGGCAACATTAGGATGAGAACTCTAATTTGGATTTCTCTTTAAAAGAGAATCTTCATTGTGTATTGATGCTATAACTTTATATTTAATGTTCTTGTTTAAAAAAACACAAAAAAAGAAACTGCACATGCAAGTTAGAGTACCCACTTAATTGAAATGAATGGGATGTGGAACAGTGATGTCACACCTCTGCAATTGTTGCTGTTTGGTTGGAGATATTTGCTGTAAATATTGATTAATGTACATGCAAAAATATTTCTGCCTTTTTTTTTTCCAAATGTGGAATTTCCCTTTAAATTTACTCTGGTCTGAGTTCAAGAAGAGAGAATGGTCAGTTCTGGAGCAGTGACAGTTTTAAGGCCCAATGTTTTGTGAGCCAGCAGATCTAGAAAACACCTGCTTGCTTTATCCCATTAGTGATCTGACATTCCAGGCTTCCTATAGGATTAAACATTTCTATGTAGCCAGGGCACGGCATGAGATATCAAACCTTCAGTTCTTGATACCCTGATGTATAAAAAAGCTATTTAATTTCATTTCTAGAGGTTTTAAAAATCCATTCCAGTGTTTTATTCCACTTGGATGCCCCCAGAGGGTAATTAAGGCACCTTGATTTGCAAATGGAGAGATCTAAAAATGCATTATTGCTATTAATTTTTGTAAGTCTTAAATTTAAAATGAATTTACTTTAAAATGTGAAGGTATAATTTTCTATTCATATTTTTCATTTCACTAGTGGATGTGCTTATATAATCAAATGTAATTTAACACAATCTTTCAACTGTAAAAACTGTGTACAGTCCTAAACCTGATATCTGCAATGTTTTTAGAGGAAGAAGGAAGTAGGGGAAAGGCAGAGTTCATTTTACTGATAACTATCTGTAACTTTAACCATAAATTCCTGCTACATGGCAAAGTAAATAAAAGCCAATTAACTAAAGTATTTCAAATCCTAACAAATTATAGAAACACATCAGGTGTGTGCTACTGCTATTATTAACCCCCTTCATGCCCTATACATTCACTTCTTATTCTGGTGTCCTGCCAATTTCCTCTTCCTTCGATGTATGTTGTACTAATATACACACAACTATACCTTTAAATTGAGTTTTTGCCATTCTTATATACAGTAGGTTCCCATATAAAACTCAGTAATATTCATTCATGCAGACTGAATGACGAATGAGCAGAGTCAATCCAATTAATCATAAAATAAAATGAAAAAAAAAATTAAAATTATTAAGAGAAACAAATAGCAATGCATTTTAAGGAGGCAGCTATAACTCCTTCAGCCTGCAATAGTAACTAGGATAGTCCCTTTTTTCTCTTTGGGAAATAAGAGCCTGCAAGCACTTAAGAATGTAAGTAATTTTCAATGGAAATACTCATGTGAGTGACAGTAAGCATGTTCCTAAATGTTTGGAAGATCAGGCCCTAAGTCAGCATGCTGTGTATGTTAGCAATATATCTGTCCAGATATCAAAAACACATTTGGTGTTTATTTTCTTGATCTCTATTATGCCATTACTGGTTAACATAATGGTGGGAATTTTAACTATGGCTTTGTACAGTGCCTAATGCAATGGAATCCTGGTTAAAGACTGCGGTGGCTAGGTGCTCATGCTATACAAATAATAAAGAATTTCTGATACGATGCTGATTCTGATAGAGATGCAACACAGATGACATTAGCCCAAAGTCTCTTTTAAACCACCTAACTCATCCTTGTTCTTTTCCCTCTCTTACCTATCTGACTTTAGCATCTTTCAAAAGGTATTATGCAAAGAGGTAGCAAGTTGTCTATTTACTGAAAATTAATTGATTGCTTTGTGAACATTCAGGTCAGTCCTAGGTCCTAATTTTGCATTTTGCCCCTTTTTACCTACTTCTGGCAACCAAACAATACAAGCAATGTATTCAGTTTTCAACCCCTGTATGGTGATGCTGACCATGCAGCCTAGAATAGAATTTGGTCTATTTTCTTTGAATCAGAATACTATCATAATGATCCTTGGCTAGTTCAGCTCCTCTTGAACAGTACAAAGTCTTTACTTCCTGCATTACCTCTGACAGACTGTCATATGACAATCCAGGGAGGATACTGTTTTAGTGGGTTGGTACCATGGGAAGTGTATAGGTTGAATATCTGTGTATGAGAGAATGTAACATTGCCAGAAATATTTTTACGAGGCACCTGCACAAGATCCCTGGAGCTGATGACTAAGATAAATATGTTGTATTAAGTAGAAGAAGGTTAAATAACACATTATTAACACAAAGGAGTCCCATCACAGACTGAAGTTAATCGGCCACTGAAATTTAAGAATCAGGTTTCATAACTTACCAAAATCTTGAGGAGGGCTTTCTCATCACAGTCTTCAATACTGGTTACATTTAATTTCTCTTTGTATTTCTAAAATGAAAATAAATGAAAACTTAAGTTTCTGTTCCACAAGATTCCTGTTTGAATTCTGGGGTACTAGAAAGACACTCACCAATATGGACTGAATTTCTTCAGGGGTGGCCTTTGTCTGGTACATGAGCATTTCCTGAGCAATGTCTTTCCTGTTTTCAAGCTTATTCATTTTGTCATAGGTGTCAGTATTTAAAACAGACCATCCAAGGAATTGTGTAAGACTCTGGAACAAAACAGGGGAAAATGGGAAATGATGTAGTGACAATTCATTTGGCTTAATATTAAAGGAAAACTGACAATTTGAACTCCTTAAAATGTCCAGCAGGGTACTTACGTGCCTCCAACCAATACAGCTTCTGAGCTCTAGGCACTGGCTTCCTTCCTTGCCCCGAGAAAGCTCAACCCCCGCTCCACCCCAGGCCCCACCCCCGCTCCACCCCTTCCCCAAGCTTCCACCCCTGCCTCTTCCCACCCAGTTCTGCTCCCTCTCTCTAGTGTGCCCAGTCCCCGCTCTTCCACCTCCCCCACAATGTCTCCTGCAAGGCCGGAACAGCTGATCACGGCTGGTGTGAGGTGCTGGAAGGGAGGGGGAGGAGTTGATTGGTGGAGGCGCTGGAGGGGAGCTGGCTGCTGGTGGGTGCTAAGCACCCGCTAATTTTATTTTGTGAGTGCTCCAGCCCTGGAGCACCCATAGAGTCGGTGCCCATGCTCTGAGCCCTGCACAAACTTTAATACATGCAGCTTCACAACAACCAAGTAATATAGGAAAGCATTTTTCCCATTTTGCAGACGGGGGTCTGAGGTGCACAGAGGTTAAGTGACTTGCCCAGTGTATGGGTGCACACTTGCACCTGTGCAGAACCACACTGATGTCAACGGGACTTTACACAGACTTGCTCTCAAGGAGCTCCTTGCAGGATCAGAGCCTTAGGGGTGACATCCAGTGAATCAGATGGTCTGTCATCTCTGCCCTGAAGACTACAAATACTAATTAATGTTAGTTAAAGGATTTTGACCATCCTTAACTAATCTAATATGGGTTTTTTTGTTTATTTGTTAGAATGATTTTTTATGGTATCTGCTGTCTGTTCACTACTGGAAAAAAGTTCACAATCCATCATAACTACAAGTGTGTAAAGAGTTTTAATGGAAATACTTTTACTATTAAGAATAATTGCTACCTAAAATAATCCTTTTAGTAATTTTTAACTGAGTCTTAACTAAAATATCTCTTAACATTAAATGATCATCTACAAAATCTTTTGTCTCATTAAACTTACTTCAGTGATCTGTTCATCAAATTCATCAAAGGGTTTTCCATCTTTTCTGTTGTAAAATGTAGCTACTCCCACAATTTCTTCTTTTTTGTTGACAATAGGCAAAGACAGGACATTTTTGATTACCCAGCCTGTCTCATCCACAGGCCCTTTCTGCAAGCAAGCCAAAAGAAGATGACCTATTGCATATTTCTTTAAAAATAGTCATACAATATTTTGGTATTATAATTGTAAATGTCACAGTTGGTACCCAAAGATCACAAATAAGTACAATAACAAAATTATCAGCCATCTCCGCAACTGTGGAATGTATGAATATTTGTGCAATCAACTTTATGACTAATGGGTAGGTGGCATTAGGGTATTTTCCTATAATAATTACAATAAAAGAAATACTGTGTTATTACCTGAAATAAAAAATACTCATCGGCTCGTGCATTCATCATGTTACAAATCTGTGATATAAGGAAACAAAAAAAAATCCCCATTGTTTAGGTGCAGTATATACACTCAGATCCATAGTCTGGCATTTTAAAAGGACATATTCATTTCTAAGAGAAAATTAACTATTATTAAAGTAGAATTAGCTACTCTGGTATATGCCACTGGGAGTTCTGAAAACACTCTGCCTTGTGTATGGTACTCATAATATATTTTATTAAGCATAATAGTTACTTAACGATATGCAGGAAGAAGGCAAAATTTTATGGCAGGACATGAAGAATATTATATCCAATTTGAAACTGTATGGGGAGTTTTAGGAAGAAGTAAATAGTTGAGTTGAAACTCAGCTCACTAGGGCTAATGCCTACTGTTAGAAAAAGTGCCACAGAATCAGCAATGACTACAGTACACATGGAGACCTTTAATTTTGTATTTCCACTGAAAGACAATATCTTACACCATGCTGACGCCTTGGTTCAGATTTGGGGCCAATCCATCTTTCTGCTTATAACCTGTACCAGGACTAAAACTAAACAGAAAATTCTACAAGTTTCTGTTTGCTGAGTTGCTGACAGATCATTCTTTTGCGAGAATGGATTTGTACGCCTGCAATGTGAGTCAGAGACCTAAGCCCTCCTACCCATGAGATGTCCTAAGATCTGTCAGGAAATCCACTGATTCACAGGTCATCTGCATAGAGGGTTTGTCCCTCCAGGCTACTGATTGGCCCCTGTTCTCCATGACAGCTATAATCCTGGAGACAGTGTGATACAATAAATGCTTATATGAGAATATTTCCAGTCCTTTAGCCAATATAAGGAAGTTTTGGTGATGGCCTCTGTAGTCTCTGCTTGATCAAAGAACTCTATAGAATGTGTAACTTTCTTTTTTTGCAATTAACTTACAAATCCATTTTCAGCAACATACGTTGGCAACCCACTGACAAGACTCCAGTGATCTGCAGGAGGTGACCTGTAGAGACACAATGAGATTAAATAAGTCAATGTCACAGATATAAACATGTTGCAGTTCTACCTGAGCAACACCGTTAACTGCTACATAGTTAACAAGCTGATAATGAATACTTACGGAATGACTTTGATTTCTTCTTTTCCAACTAAAATATAATCAATAATCTTATAAAAGATGACTTCCTAAAGAAAAGATGAGAAAAACATGCATTAATTATCCTGTGCAACTAAATTCCAAAATTATGATGTGTAAAAAGGAAGCATTTATACTTACTCTGCCATCAGGTGTTTTTGGTCCTTTATAAGGCTCTACTTCTCCCAGCTTGATTGGCCATTCATCATAGAACTCCTAAAAATAATTACCCACAAATTAACAAAACAAAGCATTTCTCAGTTACATACCAATAGGTAACATGAAATGCATGGACCATAATTTAAGCTATACTTCTCCATAACCCTACTTGGTCTGGTCACATCTCAAAACAGTATGAAGAAAACATTGTTAAACATACACCAAACAAAAGTTTTAGCAAGTAACTTGCAGGTTAGTGTGAAACTAATGCCAGAAAACTGCATGGCTTTCTCAGCATTTTAGTGGGTGGGAGAAGTAAAAATAAAAATAACCATCTGAGCCTAATCTGCATGCCTTACATATATGGCTGGCTCTATTTTTATATATCTCACATGTAATTTTGGTGATTTATATTAGTTGAATATAGTCCATGCCTCATGTCATTTGGAAACCAAACTTAGAAAGTATAGCGGATTAATTCCATGGAGAAAGGCACATTAGACATGACAGACAGATTAGGTAGTTAGAGGGATTAATTTTTTATAATGATCTTGAGTTAAGTGAATTCTACATTTCCAATTAACTGGTAAAATGCTGGTTACCTTCTCTTTGGTCATATCCAGCAGACCAACAGAGTATCTTTCACAGTTCAAATACATTCGAATAGTGTACAGTGCTTTGTGAAACTGTCGCTCAATATCTGTCAGTTCTTCAAATACTTTGTTGGCAGACCACAAAAGCATCTGCTTACAATGAGAGAAAACTGGGTAAATATTCAGGTGGTGAAAAGAGAATGTATTACAGATGAAAAGAAAACATAGCCTCATGCATTTCAGATATTAAAGAATGAATTAATAATGGATGTTGATACCATTCTGTAACATGATAAATATATCCTACCCTTGTTTTTATGTATTGTCTATGGAACAGTGCGAGACCATATCACTAGTAATGATTTCACATAAGAAAAAGCTAATAAAGGTTCTCATTAACAAATCCTTCTTTACCTGACTTCTTCGGGTTTCAATATTGTAGAGATATGTGATATGGTATTGTTTTATGGCAACAGAAACAAAATTGAGGTATTTCTTAAAGACCTATAAATGACAGAGAACAAAAATAAGACAAAATATCAAACCATATTTATTGTTAAAAGAACAATAGTGTTCCTGTTTTAATGTCTACAGTTACCTCTTCATCCTCTTTAGAGAATTCGGGGGCATTTATTTTGTTAAGTGCCATTACAACAGCAAGCACCTCCTTGCCCTGCATAATAGGGGTTGCCAGCATGCTGTTAGTTGTGTAACCAGTTTGCTTGTCCACAAAGTCAGAAAAATGGTTATTCTGAAAAAACAAACAAAAAACAAACCACATTTAGTTATGATGAAGACCATTTATTATTTGTTACTTATTTACACGGTGCCATATATGTGAATGGAGTTTCACACTGCAGAGAAAGATGGATTCCCAGCCCAAAAGAGCACACTGATCAGAGGCCCCAATCCTGCAAACATTTAGGTGTGTGATTCACTTTAACATTAAGCACGTGTGTACGTGTTGGTACTGAGCTCACACAGGTTATCCTTAAAACAATGACAAACAGGAGGAGGAAGGACAAAGGAGAGAATAATATGACTATGTGGTTATTTGGGAGATTAATGCCTATGACTTGAAAATAATTGTTTATATTTATGTATGTATTACTAATACTTATTATTTAATCATTCCTGTAGATAAAATGCTTGATATTACCTCCTCATACGATTGTGAAGCTGACATAAAAACATAAGGCCACGTTCTCAGGCCTGCTCCATTCTAAATGATCAAACTCTCACAAGTGTACTGCTGCGGATGCTTCTGGCAGGGAAGAGTTCCCAGCAGGTATAGACCTAGCAGAGATAGCTGCTACACTTCCCTCCTGGCCATCCCCCACTCCCTGCACAGAAGGCATGCTTGGGCTAGGAGGACATGACAGAGGGAATGACCAGAGTGTGAAGGACAATTCCCAACTTTGTATCTGATCCCTTGGGGCCATGGTCACGCAGTTAAACAAGAAACCAGAGCCCTCTCTCTGACAGCCCACTCCTGAAACTGGATGCAGCAAAGAATCTGTGATCTTTGAAAACAAGATTTGATGTCATCAATGTGCTTTAGTAAAATGCTGTTATTGTTAGGGAATAAGTTGCTGTTCTGTGCAGCTGTTTTGTATTTATATTTTGAAGTAAACTTGAAGATCCATTTGCAATGCTTGTAACAAGTAGTAATATTTAAAATCATTATATTATCAAGGACACCTGATAAAACACAAACTCTGGAGATATTTGGTTTCACAATTTGCTTGAGAACCCCAGGATGATGGAAAATTGAAGCTGTACCCTTCCCATGCAACCAGCTGTTAAGGGTAGCTCCGCCATTAGACTAGCCAGTCAGTCTGCTCATTGGGGCTGCATGACTTCAGTCAAATGGTGAATGCTGTTGGCCAGTGGACATCACTCTCCAAGCTTCATCAAGCTGACTGCAACTAGGAAGACTGCAGCACTTGATGGAAAGTATCTCTTCATGCCTGGATGATGCTCCTTTGTGGTATATTAAAGATGAGATTGTGACCATTTGAATTTTCAGCTAAAATACATGGCTGTTATACTTGAAGAAGCATCGCAAATTATCCTATTTCTTTTATGAAATGATTAGCTTTTGTTTAACACAGAGGGTGAAATAAAAGCCAGCACAAAAGGTTTGTGCCTTAAGACCTGTTTTGAGGGAGTAAATGAGACTTAAGTGGTCCATAGGCTTTGTGCTGGTTTTCTGCACAGGGATGAATTTTACCCCAAAAGAAAAGTTCATTGAGCTTTTAGAGAACAATACAGAAGTCTAACTAGCTAAGATGCTGGCACATTCACAGTAGCAGCTTTTAAATTGCTTCTCTGCACAACTGCCTAACTTTTGACTAAGGGGCCATACTGCAAACACGTATGCACAAGAGCAGTCCCATTGACTGCATGTGTGCTCCTTTGCAGGATCAGACCCCAATTAATTAGATACAACAATAAACCAGAACATTTGCTGCAACAAAGTCTCAACTTTTCTTTCTTCCAAGCGATGCCTAGCCAACAGCCAGATTTTAGGATTGTAGACTAACCCTTAACCCATTGGATTAAAATTATGCAATGTGCATATCTAATACCTCTCCCCTGTAAACAATAACTTCCCTAAATTTACACACAAACAAATATAGACAGTTTTTAAAAAAATGTCACTAGCAGTTTTCTGTTTGATAACCCTCTCAGTTAAGTATTGCTTGTCATTAAGTCTCTAACCTTCGTATAAATCATAACATAGCACCTGGAATAGGTTGCAGAGCCTCTTGTTTATTAATGGAAACATTGTCTACTAATGTTATTAGCATTCATAATCAAGGTGTTTCAGTGGACCAAGTACCTTTTTAATTACCGTCGTCTGTAACATGTCACTTTACTACACTGATTTGCTTGCTGCTTCTGTGTCATCTCTAACATCTCTTGTTTTGCAGGCACTACATAAGCAGAGTTTACTGTTTTGTTTTTACATTTTTCTGTTTATCTGTCTTTTCTTGTAATTCCTTTGCTGTATGGAGAATTTCCAGGGAAGGTGAGCAGTGAAAGAAAGCACTTGAGGGCCTATTGGCAGAGATTGCACTGGTCATAGACCAACCGTCTATCCTGATCCAAACATAGTCATCAAAATAGCTTCTGCCAAGAGCTTTCAGTATTAGATGAATTCTTTTTTACCCCATGGTAAAAATGCTACTTGGTATCTTTTCAATAATAATCTGATTAGAAAATAAACTAATGAAGGAAATCCATACAAGCATTAAAGCTCTCTTAATTTTCATTATAGGTAGAAGTGGTAGCACCATCCATTATTAAGGTCTCCCAACACTTCCCATTATAAGACCCTGTTTTCAGTTGCTTGTAACTTTGCCAAACATTAACGATTTGTTTGCTTCAGACTGAAAAATGTTTAGAAAATTTCAGCCAAAATGGTCCAGCCATTTCTGAGAATAAAGTTAGGGAAATATATGTTGTTTTGCTCATGTTAAAAAATTCTTAAGGCCTTTTCTTTGAAATGCCTTGGCATTCCTATGCTTTGGAACAGGGACTTGAAATTTGGTAGTGGAGGTGGGGGAGCCTTTGTGGCAGGGATGAGCCTCTCAATGTCTCTGTGAAATTCTTTCTAAATTTGGCCATGTTAAAAGCTTTTGAAAAATCAAAAGTTTGCACATACTGACTAGAGACTTGCTAGAGCTTCACACCTAAAATCACTGAAGATTCCATCTTCACTGAGCATGCTCACAAAGTCACACCTCCTAGAGCTGACCAGATCGTGCATGCACCACCCCCACAGAGCAACTGAGCGTGCTTCAGCCCAGAGCTCTGAGGTTTCAGAAGGACTTTCCTTGTAATTGCTGCTGCAGGCTGGGGTGGGGCCATGCCCCAGAACTGAGAACCTGGAGCCTGACTGTCTTGTGCTCTCAATGACCCACCTGCTGGCACGTAGGCAGAGTAGAAGAGGAAACCACCTGATTCAAATGGAGAAGGAACAAGAACCAGATGGGCAGGGAGGGGAGAGAAAGGAATAAATTGGGACAAGGAGTCTGATGAGACTTGGACAGGAGAGGGGAGAGACACTTTGACTGGGAGCTGGGACTGCCTGGGAGCTGTGGGAGGAGGCTGGGACTTGTTGGACAAGAAGACTGGTCCTGAGGGCCTTTGGAGGGGGAGATTGGAATTAGGAGCTGGTGAGCAAAATGGGATGGGAAACGGGAGTCAGTTGGCTGAGCGGAGTGGGGAACACTGAGATTGGACATGGAGCTGGGGGTAAGAGGGAAACTGCTTCTTGCTGGACAAGGGGGCTGAGTCTAGGAAACACTGGAGGAAAAACAGTAGGGAGGGAATAAGAGATAGACCTGATGAGCTGGAGTGTGGGGGGCAGAGAAGGGAAGTACTGAGGCTGGCTGGGCAAAGTGATTGGGAGAAGGAGCTGGGTATGGAATTGCTGGGAGACACTGAGATTGGATGAGGAGCCTGGAGGGGTTAGATGGGACTGAGAGCAAGAGAAGGGGCTGAGGGGAGAAATGTATCAAATGAGGAGCTAGGCAGCATGAATTGGGACTGCCTGAGCATGGAGACTGGGGACAAGAAGCTGGGACAGAAGTGGGGAACTGGGGCAGGCTGAGCAAGGAGACTGGGAGTCATGGGGGAAATTGAAGTTCGGAGAGTGATCCCAGAGCAGAAGACGAGGACTGGTTGGACAAGAAGACGGGGATTGTGTTGAGAAGCTGGAGGAGTGGAGGCTGGGCCTGGGTAGGAAAGGAAAATGAGACTGGGACAAGGAGCCAGGAGTAGGAAAGAGACAGAACTGGGACAGAGACAGGTTGAAGGGAATGGGACAGAAGAGGTCAAGCTTGGGGAAACCCAGCAGAACAGTCTGTACCCACTAGTGCACATACTTTCCTCCAGAACCTGGAATGGAACCCAAGACTTCTGAGTCTCAACTTTCCTCTGCTATCAGCAAAATCTGAAACTCACTGGCAAAGTATGCACCTTATCCTCTTCTAGTTGACAATCTCCGATGCTATCAGTCATTCAATTAGCTCAAGTGGCAGGGGACTGTGGTGTGGACCTAAAGGTTCCAACCTGGCTGATGAACTTTTGCATGTTAATATGATGCCACACAGTGGAATTTCTGTTTTTCTGTTTGCTTTTTTCAAAACTGAGATGACTACACATACACACAAACTTTAAGTTAAAAGAAGATTATTAAGATTGCAAAATCAGGCTCCTAAAAGTTAGGAAATGACAGAATAAAGTTACCATTGTAACATTAATTCAGTTCCCTTATGCATATGCATTATGATCACAAACTATTTTGTTCCCCAGGACCTAGGATGATCTGCTCTGGGGATTAATCAAGATTGTGCAATGAAGGAGAATGTTGTCTGTAGGACTCCTGCCTCTTTTGTTACAGAAGTTGGGAGTTGTATACTATTTTGTAGCACTGAGGAAGGTGGATCTAGGCCTGCCCATAACTAAAGGCCCACCCCCCTCAATTAAGGGGGAGAAACCACTAAGCTCAGGCCACAATTGATTTCTGGGGACAACAAATGAAAAAAACAGGAGTGGGAGTGAGATCAAAGGTAAAAAATCATGGATCCAGAGTAGAACACCAAGTAAAGAACCCCTGACAGTGTCCCCTGCTCCTCAAGGGTGTCCAAGGAGTCAGTGGCCACTGTCCAGAGATGTGACTGAACAACAGACTGTCTGGAAGATGTGTACTATTTGAAAGTCCTGGAAACCAGCAGGTCT